CACAAATCACACTCTACAAAGAAAGGGGAAACAGAATCAGTGCATGTTTCACATTACATTCGTACATGGGTACTTACTGATGATGGTTGTAGAAGGGGGATTTGGGCACAGTTCGGATGCAGGCGAAACAACAGGCTGACGCTCGAAGAAGATGGTGAAGGCGTTGCAGTCGTCATCGCTATTGCAAGCATGGGCACCTAAAGACAGTTAGTAAGACAGTTCAAGCGAGATGCTACTTGTCGATATGATGAGCTTCGACCCAACGTGCTACTTACACTGTTCGACGTTGTACTCGTCCATTGATATGTAATGAACAAACTGTGATGCCGTGTCGTACGTAGTGATCAGGTTGGCGTACGATTGAATGTAACCAGCAGGCGTAGTGGCGGACAATGCAGCGCCAGCGAAAGGAGCATAGGCTTGAAAAGCTTCCGGGGTGTCAGGCAAGATTGGGGTACCATGTCCCAGGGGAAGAGAGTCACAAAATGATCGGACAGGAGAGCTGCCCGGGGCAAGGGCTGATCCAAAGGCTGCGAGGTGTGAAAACACCATCCCAAGTTCGATGAAAATGAAAAGGAACAACATCTTGTCTTGTCTCCATACGAGATGAGTGTTGAACTAGCATGGGCGATGAAGGATGTTGAAAGAAAGATGTAGCACGGTTTTATATGTTCAGAACGAGAGGCAGGGGAAACTGTTAGTAGTAGTCGGGAAGTGGTACCAGACCAACGCAATTGTGCTCCATTACCAGTGCCATTCTGCCCCGTCCCCACTTGATACGTACTGCGAAGTTGCGATGCTCCCTCGGAAGGAACAAGAGAGATCAGTGCTGTATCCTCATTGTTCTGAATCCACAAACTTTTGAGCTCTACCACTCTGTCGAGCAACAAAGAACAATATTCTGTGGATAGAAGCAAATGGATCCTTGAACGACTGTGGTCTTCATGGCTCAAACTGGATCTTACTCAACGCTCGAGACAGAAGACCGTATACCCTCCAGAGACCCTAAGTGGGTCTGAATGCACAGAACCATTGCTATCAATACTTTCGTTCGATTGTTTACGATGTTACTCGACGATTGAGTGCGTACATGGCTCGGAGTGAGCTGCAGATGTGGTAACAGCCTCTGGCTTAACTTAAATGGGGGTCATGTATGTGTCATGTTAGCTCATATAAATCAAACAAAAGAGCTGATGAGTCCCTTCGGCACCACAGATACCGTGGAGATACGCGAAAACCACTCAAGGTCTTGAGCCAAGGCTTGCAAGCTAGCGATACGAGCGAGGTTCAACATCGTCACTCAGCTTGAGAAGCAACCAAAGCGACAAGGCGAAGCATGTTTTGTGGCATTTCAAGACACATGAGCCATAATGGATGATTGTGGTAGATGAGAAAGCAAGAAGCCAGTCACTCACCAAGCGAAAGGTAACCGCTGTTGCTAGTGCCAGACCCGCCCAAAACGTCATAGTCTCAACCGACCAAACCATCCAACATAGTACTCGCCAGTAACATTGAGGTCAACAATACTCTTTCAGTCACTTGATCGTTGCGTCCACCCCTTATTACAAGAGTTTCCGCTTTTTGAGCCAGGATATCAGAAATACGTACGTGGCCACAAAATCATGGGTCGCACCGAAAAATCGCAGGGTTTAGCGCCACCCGCCATCCGCAAGGATATTCGAGCCAAACAGGCGCGGCATATCGTCAACAAAGTTGTCCCAGCAATCTTGACGTCAAATGCAAGAGCCAGGAGAGGTGCGGACGGAAGTGAGCTTATTGCGAACCCTGGACCGATTGGAACAGTGGGGCAGGAGAGAAGGAGTAGGGACAGTGCACGTGTTGAGGTTGGCGAAGAGACGGAATATGTAAAGAGGAAGGGACAAGGGAGAAGAAAGGCTAAAGTCGCGAGGCTTGAAGAAGGAGAGGCGGATGGCAGGAGTGGTGAAAAGAGTGGTGATATGGGGAAGGATGTTGGTAAAGGTAAGGGAAAGGCAAAAGGCAAGAAACAGAATGATGCTCTCAAGGAAGAAATTTCGCACCTAAACTCGAAGACAGCTGTTACGCCACCACCTGTTTTGCCGAGCAAACAACGCAGTATACGAATCGTAGCCACAGATGGCCTTACAGCTGCACATATGCTTTCTCACCCATCTCTGTACAACGAATCCGCCACTTCCGCGCCGAAACAGCTGTCCAAGAAACAACCAAATACATGTATCCTCAACATGGCCTCTCCCCTCCGCCCAGGTGGCGGCCTCCTAACGGGCGCTACCTCCGCCGAAGAATCCCTTTGCGCGCGTACGACACTACTCCCTTCACTCAAGGAATCATTCTACCGCCTTCCAGAATATGGTGGCATCTATACACACGACGTACTAGTGTTTCGATCTGCCCTTCCGCTCGGCGACAACGCGGGTGAGCTACCTCCCACCGAACGCTGGTACGTTGACGTTATCAGCGCGGGAATGCTGCGCTTCCCCGAACTAGAGGGGGAAGAAGACGAAGAGAAGAGGCTGAGTAAGAAGGACAGAGAGGTTGTTGAAGCGAAGATACGAGGTGTTCTGAGGATAGCGGAACAGAAGGAAGTGAAGGGGTTGGTGCTCGGAGCTTGGGGCATTGGAGCTTATGGAAATCCAGTGAAAGATATCGCAAAGGCTTTTGCAAAGGTTTTGGGTGTTGGTTCTTCGTCGTCAGCGTCCACCGGAAAGAAGAATAGCAAGTCGCCATCGGTGGGTATCGAGGCATTTCCGGCCATTGAACACATCATCTTCGCGATCCCCAATCGTAAAATTGCTAGCGATTTTGCTGCAGCGTTCGGTGGCAGCATTCAAGTCGAAGACGGTCCTGGCGCTTCGAGCAGCGATGACGACGACGACGATGGCGAGGAAGACAAGGTGGCAGAGGAACTGAGAAACAAAATACAAGAGATGGAAGGTCAGATCAGTAAGGTTTGGAACCCAGATTTGAAGACAAGGCTGAGCTCTATACTGGAAGGCTTGAAAGCGCAATTGAGAGAGAGAGAAGGCACACCCGGAATGAGTAGCATTGATGGTGATGATGAGGACGAAGTAGGAGGAGTCGAAGAGAGCGAGGAGGAGGGAGAAGGTAATGACACAGAAGACGAAGTCCGCTCGTACGGGAGTAATGAAATTGGTTGTTACCACCCCAACCCTCACGACTGGTAATCAGAACCAGTACACTACTGGTAAGAATATATTGATGGGTATCTCAAAATTTCTATCTTCTAAAAGTCTCTTTTATACAGCAAGATTCAATGCTTCGACGCTCAAGCGGTTGCACTGGCAGCAGCCGGTTCTTCTAAAGAAGGCTCTGCTGGCTTTGGCTTGTTGGAGCTGTTCTTTTGTGCCTCTGTATTCGGTTCGTCCTCCAAACCCAGTTTTTTCAGGTCCACAGCCAAGGGATCAGACTCTTGTGTACTTTCAGTAGGCCCTTCATATCCTGGTGGTGGCAACGCCCAGTCGGGCAGGCCAGTCTCATAGTCCCACTTCCCTTCCTCACATCTGTATCTCCGGGCATGCAGGTAGATACCCAATTCGTGTGTACCTGGGTCGCTGTACAGATCGGTGTCGCATACCTTGCACTTTTCCCCTGTCATGCGTTCCGCTTTCTTCTTGTTGTAGGCATTGACCATCTCGTCGTGGTATGCGACGGCATCAGCGACTTCCTCTTTGCCCATGCGTGAGAGGCGGGACATGATATCTTCATCGTCCTCGTCTTCAGATTGACCGCGGCCGAGGGCTGGGCCAAAGACGCGCTGGTTGGCGTATATGGGATCGTTTGATATGGGATGGCCGAGGAATTGGAGGTGGACGCGCAGTTGGTGGGTGCGGCCTGTCACTGGCATGCAACGCACAATGGAATAGCCACGGAGCTTCTTCCACGGCTGGCCATCGGGACCTGCATCTCCTTGTTTCGCTTGATTTGCATTTCCGTCATCCTTTGGTGGGTAGTATGCCAGCCGCTTGAAGACCGTCTTTGCCTCCTTGCCGTTCGCACGCACGCGGTTCAGGCCGAGCTTGGGGCTGATCTGCAGGATGGGCTTCTCACAGAGGATCTCTCCTTGTGGGAATTCGCCCACGACTCGCGTGATGTACTCCTTCTTGACCGTCCTGCCTCTTATCTGTGCACTCAGTTCCTCTGCCGCCTGCTTGTGCTTGCCGATGAACATGATGCCACTAGTCAACCTGTCGAGCCGGTTGCATGGCAATGGATTCCAGCCATAGCCACGATCTGCCCTCATAATCTCGATGATGGAGTTGAAGTTGTATCGGCCAGCAGGATGTACGGGCATGCCCGCAGGCTTGTTGATGACAATCATGTTGTCATCCTCGTGGACGATACCGATGGGCTGCGCGGTACACGGGGGCTCGTGGCGGTGGAGAGTGTGGGATATGACGTCGCCGTTGTTGACTATTGTCTTGATGCTCGGCACCGGCTGGCCATTGAGGACGACGCGGCCCTCTTCTATGGCCTTCTGGTAGTACTCGGCAGGCCGGTCGCGGAACTCGCTAGAGAAGATGTCGAGGATTTCCCTTCCCCGCCATCGTTGCTTGCAGAAGGTGTTGTATGTGAAGTGGTAGGGCGTCACCTTGCGCAGGCCATCTTCGAGGTAGTATGGCGGTGGCCAGGGGTCGCAGGGCGTGATTGCGACGGCTGGAGGCTCTTTCCAGGGAAATTTGTCGTCGGGCAAGGGCGGGTATTTGTCGCGCGGGGGTGAAGGCACTAGGGCCATGGAGGGTGAGCCTGTGCGTGTCTTGGGCACAGGCAAGCGTCCCTTGGAGGCGAGGTATGCGAGGATGCGCGGAGAGGGCGCCAGAATCGCGGGGCCGAGGGGTCGAGGGGTCGAGGGGTTGAGGGTGCGTGTGGGAGAAATGTTGCGCAAGCCGAGGCAGACGTGGGATGCAGGGAACCTAGCCCGCCATGTTGCCCGTCTTGAGAGACGCGTCTTCCCTCGACGTCGACGGCAACAGAATTACACCATGGCACTACAGGCATTGAAATCGCGTCGACGAAGCGACTACAGCTTCCAGCTCGAGTATAGGACGAGATGGTGCGTCTCCTGCCTCTGCGCTCTGTCCAGTACTAACAACAGGAAGGAGCGACAACGACATGTACCATCACATGAACAACAGCGTCTACTACTATCTGTATATATACATCTCTCTCTCTCTCTCTCTCTCTCTCTCTCTCTCTCTCTCCTCGCTCCATTTCCTAACGACAACCAGGTTCGACTCGGTTGTCAACACGTACCTCATCCAACACTGCTCACTGCACCCACCTACCTCGCCACAGATCGGCCTAGTCGTACACTCGCATTGTGATTACCTCGCCCCAGTCGGCTTTCCCGCCGTTGCAGACCTCGCACTACGAGTCAACAAGCTTGGCAAGAGTTCTGTAACATACGAAATCGCCGTCTTTGAAAAGGGCCAGGACGAGGTCAAGGCCGTTGGCGAGTTCATCCACGTCTTCATCGACCGTGAAAGCCGCCGGCCTGGAAAAGATGGCATGAGTCAACAGCTGAAGTCTGGCCTGGAAAAACTGTTGACGGACAAGTCGAAGCTGTGAGATACGACCACGACTCCAACGTCACCGGTGGTGGCGCAGTACAACATCGGCCAACTGGGTGTGATAGCTGTCTAAGACACTTGGCTGAGCCATACGAATGGGCAAAACCGGCTCTGCGTCTGATCAGTCATGTTCATCATGGCCCTTAGCGTTATCTGCTGCCGAAAATTACATTCGCTCTGAGGCATCTGGAAGCGTATAAGTTCTTTGCCCATCATGGCGTATACGTCGCGATACTCATTCTTGGAGTAGTCACATCAGAAGCTTTTCGGGAGAATTGCATCAGAGCAATTTTCTGTTGTATGAGCGACAAGACGGACCCGTCTTTTGACTGTACAGGAATCTTGCTGGGGGCAACGAGTGTGAAGGGACAAACTCGGCAGCCTTGATACACCATATTATCTACCAGCTTGGCAAACGTCAAGACACGATATCGCGATCCGCAGTGCAGGATCAATTCGACGATAGCGAACAGAGACAAGCGGGGTAACGCTTAGGTACAGCCGGCAATACATTTCCGATACTGCACGTCCCTGACTGTTTTCTTTCCATTTGACCTTTCCAACGTTGGCATAACATTGTATACAAAGCTTCTTCACCTCGTTCACACTCAAGACCGACTTGTTCTGGCTATTCTTCCACGGCTTCATGCCACTTTTTAACGCGCCATCTTAAAAACTCATATTCCTATATTCCCACTATCCTATATCCGTCCAAATACCGCAATATGTCCACTTCCACGATTCATGGCCCAGGCATACTGTTTGTCCGCTCCCGCATCTCTCCCTCGGCCAATGACCTGCTCACCGAACCTGTGTTCCTAGCCTGGTACGACGACGAGCATATCCCAGAAGTAGTTTCTACATCTAGCATCCATTCTGCAATGCGCTACGTCGATGTTCACAAATCTTCACCCATTGGCGATTCCCAGAATCCGAAGCCTTTCTTAGCCTGCTACCCCATGGAGGATCTGGCTTTCACGTTGGGTGACGAGTTCAAAAAGATTGGCTTCAGGAGTAGTAAGCTTCCGGGCAGTGGCGTCATTTATGATCTGGCAGATATGGATGTCAGTTACCTGGGTTTTATGGATGCAACGAAGAGAACAAGAGAGTTTACAGGTGGCGAACAAAGATTTATCATCACATTAGGAATTAGACCAGGAAAGAAGATAGCAGAAGGAGAAGTCACCGAATTCTTTCAAAAGGTATGCATCACCAACGTTACTTCTGGTTGACATATTTGGCACATGTTTGTATTGAAGTTGATAATTCGATAGCAAACGCATACCATCGAACAGACACCACAGTACATACGCTCGGTGCGCTTCAAACTTCTCTACGCGAGGACTAATGCTCAGTCTCGTGCTCTAAAGGGGTTACCGACCACGGATGAGCCACATCCTGAGCCTTCCACTTGGCTCGCTATGCACGAGTTCGCAGAGTTGCCTGGTGAAGAGTTAATCAAGACGTTGAACGGTAGTGCGAAGAAGGCTGCTGAAGAGGAGAAATGGGGCGCAATGGAAATCGAGATACTTATTTGGAGACTGGATCGTGCGCATGGAGACGAAAGATTCTTCGATGAGTGAGGTCATGTTTGATGGTCAATCATCGTATCCTACACCTGATGGCTGTTTCAAAATCGCCTAATAAGTTGTAGGCAAGGTTATATACATACTCCATTTTTCTTCATCTCTCTCACAACACCTCCACATCCTGCTCAATGCTCATGTTCATGCCCTTCTCCCTCCTTCTCATCCCATGGATGTCCCTGTCCAACGCCCTCCCAGGGATCACCCTCCCAGGTCATCCAAGTACTGTGTCCCCTAACATTCTCCGCCAACTCCCCACACCTCCTCTGCTCCCAACTCTCCTTGCCCGCCACAACAGCCCAATGTTTCTGCGCCCTCTCCCCCCAGTATCTCGCCCGATCTTCAATTCCGAAGCTACTCCATGTGTATGCGAGAATCTCTTCATACTGTGGTAGCTCAGCGAAGAGTTCTTCTTGTTCCAGTTGCTCGATGAGTTTGGGGAGGAGGCCGAGGAGCTGCGGCGAGTCCTTCTCGTCAGTGGGGAGAACAGATTTCAAGGCTTTGATCTCGGAGAGGCGGTCGTTGGATTCCATCACTGTATCGTCATCTGCGGTGCATAGGGGGCAGGCGCACTGGAAGCCAAAGTTAGCCATCAAGGTCTTGACGCGGCGCCTGCGAGGACGTTTTTCGTAGCCATCTGCCATAGCATTAGTGACTACTTTGCTGATTGTGTAATTGGTGGTGACTTACAGCTTCGTGTGATCTCTTCACCGGGCTTGATGTCTCTGAGAGCGAAGACTTCGAATGAGAGGGTGTAATCGTCGAAGCGCCACAAGGTGTTTGGCCGGCACGCGTGGTTGATACGCTGGGCTGGAGTTAGAGAGAACACTAACAGGCAAATTGTCGGTCATGACTTACAGCGGCCTCGGGGATGACTGCCAACAGCTCTGGAAGCTCATCAACCCATGGCCATTTTACACCAATGCCGTTTGTCAGAACAATGTCCTCGACGCTGCCGTCTATGTTGACATCCAACACCTTGACCATCTCCCTGGTTTCTGCCGGCAACTGCTCGACTGCTTGCTTTAACACGTGCTGTGGTCTGTTCTCGGTTTCTGCCAGCGGCCTGGAAACAAACAGCACTGGTGTCTGCACAATCAGACTTTCGCCTGGGAAAATTCCAGCGATATCCTTTTTCGCAAACAACCCTTTTCCTTTCTCGCCTGCATATTTGACTTCCCACATGCCCATATTTTCACCAACCACGCCCTCCATGCCACCAATACTCATACCAAATGTCTCCATTGTAACACTAGCTGCGACCTCTGGAGTTACTACAAGGCTGACTCCGCGACCGTTATTGTAATCGGAATTAGTGTATGTGCAGAACGTTTGAGGACCCTTTGCTCCCACGGCTTCGTTTCCCTCATTTGGCATCACGACGTCAACACACGTAGGATTATGTGTCCATGGAAATGTGTCAGTCGTGGCGCCATCCTGTGCGACCGGACATATTGATGCAGGTTTGTTGATGAGTCCGTCTTGGATCGCCGGACTGCGCGCTGTGTAGAATAATTCCGCTCTAGCATTTGAAGCGCATAGAAGTGTGGAGAGGGCAACATAAGCAGGTAGATGCCGTCGCCGCGGCCACATTGCTGTAACCATCTTCCAAGCTCTTGATTTTATTGTCCCTTCTCCTCGAATGATGGACGATGCCGAATAAAAAGAAAGTGTCGAGGAAGCCAGACTTTCAACATCTTCAATGTCGGAGGAATTACTCGCGCGAAATTGGAAGCCACGTTTCACGATGGAAGGATCTCCGAAACCCCTGCTGCTGAAACATGCTGGGTGCTTGGCGGATGCATTGCGCCTGCATCTAGATTGTCTTGGGGATGCACGGAAGCCAGTGAGGTTTGGGGCTGTTACTGTTGTTTGATGAATCGATGAGCCGGAAGAATGGTTGATGTGGGGAAGGCTAGCTTCGGGGCCGGTTGAATGGCGCGCGTGGGACGTGAGAACATCGTCTTTGCTTTTTGTCTGACAACACAACTTGCGTGTTGCACGAGTCGATAGTGCGATACGTAGAAGTGACGCTTTGACACAATGTCCTTCTTCATTGTCCGTCTTAGGAGAAGCTCCATGCTTGTGTGTTGAGAGACGGCAGCCTCGGGGGCGAGGGCAGATCAACGCAATACCACCTTGGTTGCACTTCTCTTCATTACCTAGGTCAAACGGAGAAAAGACGATTGGCACTCTATCTTCTCCAAAATCAGATGGTTTACTTCATGACTGAGCACATCCAGAATGACGTCAATGGGAATTGGCGGCAGGGTTCGAGGCAGAATGTATCAATACACAAATTCAGTAGTATTGTACCTTCTAAAATACTTTCCAAGGTGACCTCAAGGGCCGAAGCATCAGTTGTCCCTATCTTGATGTTCATCATTGCAAGTATTGTACCTTGGATACTTCCCAACACGTGCCTCTTAGTCACTCTAAACAATCTTCAGCCAGCTCGGCTCCTCCTGCTCAAATGATTTGAAGCCCGGAGCAGGAATCTTGTCAAACAGACCACCCTTCAAGAACATTTTTGGCGATTCGTCACCCACTAAAGACGCAATGGGGCTATCATTTTGTTAGCAATACTCTCCTGATGCTACATGCATAATCAACTCACCATCCGCAGTTGCCGCAAAATTGTCGGGTAATCGAATTCCCACTCTTTGTATCGCTGTCCTTGTAATTCTTAAGATTGTTGCTCGGGTCATTGACTGTGACGTCAGATTTGTCGAACATGTAGATGATGGATCCAGCGCATGATCCGGCACGCCGGCAGTTGGCACTTGGAGAGTTAGTCCGAGACTACGCGCGGAGACTGGAACAATGACGCCTACCAGTAGCAGATAGCAGATTGCTCTGGTAAAGCAGGAATGGAAACCTTGATGCTTCCGCAGTTGCAACGTCCCTCAGTCATCCTGAATGAGTAAAATGTGGATTTAGGGTTGTGAATAGTTTGCTTTAGGGTTCTACTTCCTCAGGCTTCCGGTTGAGAAATAAGCGTTCAGCAAGGTGCGGTATCTTACTCGAATGAGAGGCTGCTGAGGGGGGTTTTAAATGAGGAGAACCTATATAGCTTACACTGTCCGCAACAGTAAACTGCTCTAGATTTATGACGCGTGTTGTACACAGTGGGGTTTGTGGAGGCAGCGGACTAGCATTAAAGAACCTCGGCAAACTAATCATACGAGTTGATTCGAGAAGTCGCGTCGTGGGATTGACCATCGCTATCCGGCACCTCGTCGTCTCTCGAATGATGTTCTGCACTGAGAGACTTTGAATGCTTTGACGATACCCGCGACGAGGCTGGCTTTTGACGGCGAATGGCCTTTTGAGGTATACGATGTCCTGTGGAATTCGACTGGTATTCTTACACAGCCAGTCCAGCAAAAGAGGCTTCCACGTGCCATGATTCGTAGTGATTGGTCTTGAAAAGGGCTGAGGTTCGGTCCGCGCGATGAGCTTTAGTTACATAGTGCTGTCACTAGTCATCCGCAGTGGGCGTACGAGGTTGTGGGATATACGGCGGTCTATCCATAAACCAACATTCTACTCTTGGAAATGCAGAGACTAGCAACAGTCAGCGAGACGCAGAGATCAGATAATATGGAAGAGATGAAGTGAGGTTGAAAAAGCAGATGTCCAATTCCCAATGGCATGCGCATCAGGCTAGCACGCCATTCAGTCCTAACGCGGCGTCATTCCGCGTTCACGCTCTCCAACATCAACCACAATGACACAACAACACAACCACAAAGCCTGGCACCAACACTACGCACGCATTGTCAAACTGCACATTACCCTAAAATGGTAGCTGAGCATCTCCGCGCCTTGCAACCAGCATTCCAACTAACCGGCCGCAGACGCGCGATTCTACAGCAACCTACCTGCACATGCACTCGTCGCACCACGCCGACCTCCTCGAGCAGTTCACGAATCTCACCTCGTCGCAACTCACGCCCGAAGACATTTACGTTCCCCCACACCTCCAGCCTGTAAACCCTGAGGACGAAGACGACGTTGTACCAGACCAGCACGCGGCATTCGGCATACAGCGAGCAACACAGACGAAGAAGGAACCAACATGGCGCGACTTGGGGCTCGAAGAACTGTTGCGACGGGGACCCATGGGCATTGGAGGCGGGAGTGCAAGCGGAAGTGCGGTCGCAGCTGGTGGTAGTGGAATTGTTGGACAGGGAAGAGAAGAGCCGGTTAGACTGGCGCTGGCGAGGCAGCCGGGTGCGAGGATGGGCGTCAGAGTAGGCAACGGGAGCAGTGAGAGCTCTAGAAGTGGCGGAAGCGGTGCTGCTGGGAATGGACTGCCACGATGAGGGGAAACAGCGTACTGGATTCGGACGTCGATATCAGCGCACGACTTTGCATCTGCTTGGAAACATGGGACACGCGCAGTGAGTCCTGTGGTATCCGTGATTTAGCTAGATCTGTCAGGCTGATCTGTGATAGCCCTTCACACCTGGACGATTGCTCTAGCTTCGCAGCCTACAACGATCGCTCTTCCACGCTACGTTGATTGGCATCTGTACGCGCACATCCAATACCGCGGGTGCTTTTGCCATGCTGTTGCGCGCAGAAGACCCTAGTACGGAACAGGCGCGGCACCCGGACTTGTTCGCGTAGAGACTCGAGATTCATATAGTGCTGGGATTCAAAATGTAAAGCAATTTACTAATGGTCTGGAGCACTTGTAACTACAAGAACCATCGTCACGTGTTACTATCAAGAATTCTGTATATGGTGGTTGAAGCCGACAAAGGATCGATGCGAGCATGTTATTTCTCTGTACACAGTGAAAGCCTCTTCAGGTCGGTGATTGCAGCTCTGTGGTCTATTGGCATTGTCCACGACACATAGTACAGGGACATGCTGTCATCCGCTTGAACCCTGCGCTCAAGCAAGAGATGCAAAACACATGCCCACATGGTGTTCGGACGGCTTCGAAAGTCTGCTCAACAGAGGTCGTCCCATATGCGGCGGGTAGTTGGCCAAGGGAATTTAGATGAGTCTCCATGCCTGAGCCGACGCTTTGATATTCTTGACGACAGACAAAGCACATCGGTTCGTCTTTTAGCGCTTCCGTAGGTGTAGCGATGTTGAGAACGCGTTCCACAATATCTTGGTAGAGGTCAGGGATTGAGCCTGTTTTTGACTGAACTTTGTAGATATACGATCAATGTAGCAGATATACTGTGTATATCGATGTTAGACGGCAGCCTTAACCTGCTGCTCAGTCATCTGTCAAGTCGATACACTCAACGCCCACAGGTACATGATAATCAGCTGCCGGTCGTTTGTTTGTCACTGGAGCAAGCGGTAGAAGAGGTTGATCGTTTGTGTTCTGCAAGGGACGAGGAGACGACGTCCCGAAGTGGCGAAGCCGAGCAGCGCGGATCTCATTGGGAGAAGGTGCCGTGGTTGCTTGGACATGGTCTTTGGTGCCAGATCCGGAAGACGACGTCGCAGGCTTTGGTGGAACACCAGCAGGCGGCAGAGAACGTGACCAATCGGGTATATCGACTGGTCCTCTTCCTAAAAGACCTGCGTGGACACCCCTTGTTGCCGTTCGTGAAACGTCTGGTGGAGTGCTTTCTAGTTGTCTATGAAGAGTTCGAGCAGCTCTAGATGGTGGCGTGTCACTGTTTGTTTGATCGAGCGACCAGGCGGGAATAGAGGCACCAAGCACATCCCTACCTGCTTCCCTCATGGCGAAAATGCTTTCATACTTACCCCGACTGGAAGATGGGAATCCAGAAGGACTCTTTGTTGGATGGATCATAACGCCTTGGTCTTGCATGCTTAGGCGCAAAGCCAGCTGTAGCTCTTCATCTTCTTCGTCTGAGATGTCCAACGGCTGTGCGTTTGCTATATGAGCTCGGTGTGTATTCGAGACGGTCATGTTGCTCTCTTGACCTGGTGGCTCGGGTGAATCAAGATCAACGATATGAGACACACACACTCGATTCAGTGCAAGTTCTTGAAGGCGAGGTTTGGCTGGTAGGGAGGGTCCATCTTCATCATCAGATTCGGACAATTCGATGCAGTCGAGAATCTTTTGCGCTGTCGGCGTCATGGGCATATTGCGAGACCTGGCAATAGAGACTAGTTCTTTTGACTTCCTCGGTGATGCACTGCGTGGGGCTCTGGCGGCGGAAATATCGTCCCTTTTGTTCTGACGTTTCCGCTTAGCTGTGCTTGACACCCCAGATTCTTCCTCGGTGTCATCTGCCGGTCGCTTACGTTTAGGCGTAGGCTTTTGTGCTCGAGACGGCGGATCTAGTATGTCTGCTGGAAGGACTTTACGCAGCCAGTACTCTGGAATTTCACATTCCACACGATAATCTGGGTCGAATAACGTCTCCTCATCTCCCTCCCAATGACCCAATCGAGCGCCCTCAAAATCGGCTTGGCCCAGAGAAGTGACGCCAAAAGGGGAAAAGGTCAGCTTGCGTTCGAAAGTACGCATTGGTGGCTCATCATCAGTCTTCTTCACTCGTTGTTTCGGGAATCTCATGTGATGGATTGGCTCAAGAGGTAAAGATGGATCTCTCGTGGTCAGGCTTCGTGTCAACAGCACAGGTCCGACCCAGTTCATGTACAGACGTCCCCATATGTTGAAGCGTTGGCTGGTGAGTGTGAGCAACTTCAGTTCCTGGATCGGACGAACGCAGTCAAGGCTGAGCCGTGACTTGTTGAGCAGATCTTCGTCGCTTGTGACCTTGGGGTTGTAGTACTTCTGCAAGGTTCTGAAATCCGGAAAGCCTAGTGGGATGTCGATGCTGCGCCCGCGAGCAGTTTTCTCGAGGAACATGGCCAACTCTGCAACCCAAAGATCGCACTCCATCTGATCTCGACATGCAACCAGTCGTCGGCCAAGCCCTTGCTTGACCGCTTGCAGAGCCAGAGACGGCCCACACTGGGGTAACCCTTGCACGTCGTAATCGCCGCCGACGAGCATTGCAAACAACACTAGTCCATCTCGGTCTAGGCCATACTTTTCCTTCAAGTCGGATGCTCGTACCACGTTAGCGTATTTTCCATTCTTCTTGGTATTCTCCTTGGACCTGTCCGTGATGCCCTTTTCTTTCGCGATGCGATGGTCGCGTAGCCAAAGAGTGCAGCCAAACATGATGCAGTCGGAGTCTTGTGACCAAACAGCGTCGACCAGGCCCAGAATCTGCAGAGCGCACTCTGCTTCTGCCTCTCCTGGCGCTTCATGGTATGGGATTCCAAAGTATTGAAGCATCTCCTTGAGCAGACGCCGCTCTTCGAAGTTGATCCGCCCTCCTCCTCTTTTACCTCGCTTCCAGGGTCGACCAGGGCCATCGAAGACGAATATGAGCTGGATGTTCAGGGTGAGAAGGCGGCAGATGCGGTAGAACATGGCTTTCTCTATGCCTTGGAAAGCGTCCTTATTCGAGGCTAGCCGTGTCAGCGAGGGAAAACAAATGCTGCGTGTACTACTTACTCTCCCGTATGGTATACACTTGCTGCACCGTGAGGTTGTTGAAGCGCCAATCGGCCTCGTCGACAGCAATGCGGAGTGGCCTGCCATGACGCCGGTGGTGCTCTTCGGCAAGCTGCGCAACCGGTACGCTCTCTTCGTGCTTCTTGATAGTATCCCACAAGCTATGTTGACATCAGTAGAGACTCAGGTCTGATGCGGTCTGGACGCGTACGCTGTGAGACCCATGACGTGGGTGTGGGGAAGACGAGGCTCCAATAGTCGGCCGTTGCACGCGTCTTAGCGCGATTGGCGTGACCGCGGGAAGGGCGTTGGGCAACGACTGGAAATAGAAGAAGAAGAAGAAGAAGAAGAAGAAGAAGAAGAAGAAGAAGAAGAAGAAGGACTGTCTCATATGGCAAGTCGCAACTGATGTGTTTTGCTAGCCCCGTCGCGACAGCAGTAGATGTAACATGATGCGCTGCAATTGACCGTCGCACAATCTCCTATCGCTCCTTCCGGATTCCGACGAACGCGAAAACACGTGGTTTGCATCTGCAGTCCGAGCGCCTCACCCATCTCAGTACTCACTAATTTTCTAGCAGTAGTCCGCCAGTATTTTCACTTCACGTCGTCACATCGCGCGTCATGTCACACAAGTAGTACATTGTGGCTGGCTATAGTTCACAGTCCACCTCAAACGCCCCTTCCAAATCATGCCACAGTTCACTCTCTAAGAAGACGCTCATATCGCTAACCCGATCCTGCGCACTTTTTCGTCGCTGCTTCAACGCCTCTCCCAAGATGTTCGCCGCCGAAAGAGCCATGTCAGATTTTCTGCCCAAAAACCATAACGCCTTGATACAAGCATCAGCTCGTTGGAAAGCATCCTCACGATCCAGGTCAGACGGTAATAAAGTGTCTGACTCCAGTAACAAAACACCCGCCTTGGCGAATGCACGAATCAACACCACAGTCCATGGTTCCGTCAACAGTGCGCCTTCGTTCACTGCAAAATGAAATTCGCGGGACTGTGGGAACGATGCGTCTTCTCGTGGGCATGCGCAGCTCGCCAGGTCGGATAATACCCGGCAGTTGTTCTCACGGAATTTTGCGATGAAAGCGGTTAAATTCCGTTGCTGTGTCGCTTCTTCAAGCCCAAGCTCTGACTCGTCTACTACTTCCATCAAGTCTGCAAGTAGAAGCGTGGCCAGGTGCCAATGGCCGGTAACACAGACGTACCATGACTGGACGCGTGGTGGGAGGCGGTCGTGGTTCTGGATGCAGTCCCGTATGAAAGGAGCGTATAGCGCATCCCAGTGGTTGCACACGTCCATCGCCGAACTGACAGCCTCTTCGACCTTGGCGCCTCGCGCGTTCCTCGTAAGGAGTGTCTGGATTCGGCAAACCCTCCTGAACAGTAACACCTTGACAGGGGCTGCATCACACAGCGCGGTTGCCGCTTCATCGAATGAGCATGGCCATCTCATGGGTACATGCTCCGGGTTCTGTTGTTGTTGTCGGGCGAACAAATACTCATCCCAGAGTCCGTCGCCGTCGTCTGTCGAGGAGGGTGTTACTGCCTGTTGGACCGAGTGCTCGATTTGCATGCTTTCGCTAAGCACTACATCGCTATCTTCATCGGATACCACCAGCGGACGTTTGTGCATTGCTGCTGACAGGGTGTCGAACATAACGCCCAACCAGAACAGAAGGTCTACTGTTGCACGGTCCGCATCTTCAAGTCGCACAACTGACGAGCGTCGTTGCCGTGCAGAGCTGCTGCGTCGCGCTTCTCTGGACATGGTCATGCGTGATCTCAAAGAATGGATGAGCCGGAGACCTGATTCAAGATGGACAGGTGGTCCATCAGCCTCGATTGCAAGATTCAATTTCGACATCAAGTCTGCACAGTCGTCCATATCGTGATCGGTTGTAAGCAAGGGTGTACCTTCTCTCGATACTTGCGCACAAGCGTCTGTCTCCATCAGTTCGGTCTTCGAAACAGAGTTCGGCGCATCCAGTGTTTCTCCAACTGTCTCAACCGGTCTTTGTGTCAAAGCGAAGATGATTTGTGCGAGTACCACTCGGAAAGACTCCACCTCGCCAGCCTTTTGTAGTGCGTTGCGGGCCTCATGCCATGCTGATATCTGTAGGGTACGATCGAAGTCCAAGCCAGTCGGAGTACATTCGTCCTCTTCGCTATCAAAGACGCTGCTGCCACCATCGATCGAAGCGCTATGGAACGGATATTTCGTTCTGCTTCTGGCACTGGATTGCGCCCACTGTGAAGCGAAGGAGAAAACCGCCAAGTCCAAAGCCCTGGATGCAGCGCGGTCTTCCGTCTGGGTAAGCTTGCGTCCTCTGATGGTAGATGCTAGTCTATCGAGGCGAACCACTCGGTGATAGATTCTATTCCAATCGGGTCTAGCATTCGTGGCTAGCAGAGTATCCGATTTTGCACTGTAGGGACAGGTTCTTTCTGTTACCCAGCATGCAAGTGCGTTTTCGAAACTATCATGATAGATCCTCAGCAAGCTTTCAGTCAGATACGCGTTGTTGCTCGATGAAAGAATATCGCTGGCATATGATATTACTGGGTAAGAATGCGCACCATTTGAGATTGATGCCGAGGAGCTGGAGCGACGTCTTTTTTGACCGGTACGTGCGACAGTCCCTTCCGATATGGTAGAAGGTGGTTTGCTTATGCTTATGCTACTCGTGTCTGGATAGTCTGAAGGGCTGTCGCGTTCGGGCTTGTCATCGCTAATCTCTGAAGTTGTTTTCAAGGATGAGCCTCTACCAGAGTCGCAATCGAGCAGAGTCCAGTTTTCCTCGGCGAACCCACCAGCGAGTTCCGATTCATCTCTTGTCCCTTCTTTCTCGAATGTCTCTGACGGTTCATGAAACAGGGCGATTGTGGGATCGGCGGTGAACATAGAAGAGCCGCACGGAAAATCTCCAAAAGTCACACCTAGTTCAACGGGTGGAGTATGAGCGAGAAACTCATCGTTGCTCAAATTTCGGCTCTCTTTTGACTTGGTCGTTGTGGTAGAATGCCAAGCTACATTTGGCTTCTGTGCTCGGCTGGTGGAATTGCTTCGCGTACGGCGCCTCTTTGCTGGCGGCGCAGCTGTCTGTGGTGGTTGTGAAGCTTGCGATACACGCTGTGAGCGTAGCCACTCGAAAGTGCAGCTCTTCTTCGTCTTCTCACAGTTACCGCACGAAGCTAGCGGCCCGTAAACGTCTGACAGGTTAGCTGACGTCTGCGCTACCAACAAAAGGGGTGTGGCTCACCACTATAATGGAACACTGTAGGGGTTGCTCCAGATTTACTCGTTTCTAGAAGAGTGTCCTCCAGGATAGCCGCATCGCACGCCCTCTTCCCTTTACGACATTGATCGCAGCACCTGTTCTGTTTCCGACTTGTCTTGGAAGGTTTGGTGGCCGCCATCGCCGCCGAAGAGGGCGACGTCCAGGCATAATCGAGGAACGACTTAGGTTGCACGTCCACGAAGTTCATGGCTGCTGCTCGGATTGTACGGCAAAAAGAGGGAAAGACACGAGAGGTATGCTTGATGCAAAGAGACAAGTGCGTTACTGATATGCACACCCCGCGTTGCCGGCTAGGGCCCACATCCCAACACAGAAATGCGGGGAAGGCTAACGCGTGGCAGGGGATTATGATGCTCAACGCACGCTTCAGTCCTACCCACAATTGACGATTGAGGATGCTTCACGGCTGGTTCCGTCGATCGCATGCATTTCAAACATGTGTTCCTTGTTTACGACCGCCCAGTTCTCACCAAAAGCAGCCCTCAATATTCCATCGTAACGTTATCCCATGAGCTCACGGGATGGTTTGTACCGGACGTTCGGTCTGACCTAGGCGCTACTTCTCTCAGCTTGCAGCCTATCATGTTATAATTGGCCCTTTGTCTGACGATCGGACTGTTCCGAAACCTTCTCCAATGCAACTTGTGTCAAACGAGCATCGGATCGGCCCATATGTAAAGCTATAGATGGTTTCAACGTTTCACCGCCACAAAAAGCAAATCAATTATCAGCTCAAGTTGCAGCTTCACTGCAAGTTTTTCATCGTGCGCGTTCGTGGCTTATCTGTAACCCACGGACAACCTGGTAGTCTGTAGATGACAAGTGACGCTAACAACATGTGGGGGTACGATACGCACTATGCTCACGAACCAATTTAGGCTTCCCTAGACCCAACATTATGGTTTCGACGCTCCATCAAGAGTATATCTAGTGAGAAAGGAAAGCGACTGCCCATGACCATGCAACTTGACGCGAGCTTGGAAATCAGAACGCTGACGATCATGTCCCTCCGACCGAATCCGACACAACTGGACGGGCCGATTGCATAAGCAATGGCTGCAAAGCCACCCAACATGACATCTGATCAAGCTCCCAGGGCTTTGTAGATCTGCGTCTCAATGTCGAACCACAAACCAAGCACCTTGGGATCGCCAAACGGCAGGATCTGACAGCATACAATTCCGCCGACTCCCTTCTCTCTATCACACCACCACCAGCAGTTCGGCAGACCGGCCCAGAACCCAGTACTCTTGGACCGGCCAGTCGGACCTCCGTTAGATAACATGAATGTCAGGCCCCATCCCTGGGGTGGATTTCCTTCGACAGGATATACGTCGGAAATAGGGTTTGTGAGATCGGGCTTGGCTGCTGGAATTCCCTGGCGACCGAAGTCAGGGAATTGAGGAATCTGATTCGTGAACATGAGGTCAACTGTCTCTTTCTTGAGCAGCTGAACGCCAGTTTTTGGTGATGTGCCGTCGTTGAGCAAGGTCGCGATGATTTCTATTCGCCGTTAGCCCACTGTGATGTTAAGGGGATGTGTTTGCAACCTACGTGCATAGTCCGACGGTATCGCGAAAGCACCTGCGCCTCCACTGTTGAGTATGTCGCTTATCTCATCAGTCTTAGCTCCCAAGACCTTGAGCATGAGGTGGTCGCGCTCAACCAGACTGCCATCGTGGTTGCGCTGATGCATATGCGCTAGCCGCTTCTTCATGTCTTCGGTGGGAAACATGGTGATGTTCTTCAATCCCAACGGCTCGAAGATATTCTTGAGGCAGTAATCGTTCAGAGATAGGCCAGTCTTACGCTCGAGAGCCAGACCGGCGAAATCAATGTTCACACCGTATTGCCATCCCTCTCCCGGCTGGAAGGTCAGCGGTTGGAGGATATCTTTAACACTGCCCGAGAATTCGTTATGAAAGCTGTCTGGCGACGAAAAGTCGCGCAGTTGTTCATTAAAGAAGGTATATCCGAAACCAGCTATTCATCATAGTCAGCAACAAGACGCTCTAGTTTGTGGGAGTCACTCATACCAGTATGCGACAGGAGCATCCTCAGCGTAATCTTCCCTTTCTTCTCTGCCAGACTACCATCCTTCTGCAGCACTTTGGTTTCCTTCAACTCCGGAACCAAAGTCTCCATCTCGTCTCCATCATCCAAATGCAGCTTTCCTTGCTCAACGAGCTGCATGCAAGCAAGCCCAGCGATCATCTTAGTGCAAGATGCGATCCAGAACACGTTGTCAAGCGTCATGTTCTCGCTGCTTGCAGCTCCTCTCTTACCAGCGGCGTGCGCGAAGAGTTCTTTGCCATCTTTTCCCACAACTACAACACTGGTTCCCGGGATAGATGTCTTGGGATCCGCGCAGGCTGTGTCGACGGACTTTTTGAGATTCTGGACGACTTCAGTGGATAGAGGCATGATTGATTATTACAATGGCACGAATTCGAAAAAGGGCTTTATGCATTCAATGTCACGACAGCGAGAGCTCAACATGGTACCTCTAGTACACCTATATACGGGTACATCATGTGCGGCACCGGCAGTGCAATGGACCAACGGGCGTGCGGGGATAACTGGAATTCGGCGTCATGTCGGATACTGCCCCTCATGGTGTTGTCGCCTTGTTTTCAGCATGTTCCGAAGGAAGATCGTCGAAGCCTTCTATCTAAACCTTGAGATCAGTCCGTAGCCTTGAATTTTTTGGAGGGGGTTCTAAGCACGAGGCGAGGAACGACATTGTACTTTGTACAGGCTGCCTAGGCGTGGAGTATTCCATACAACCTTGGAAAATGTGACCGGCCGCCTTGGTACTAGCGTGACTAGTGCTCAACCGAGGCATCCACGAGCACTGGGGCCTACGCGCCACAGAAAGTCGCTCTCATAGAGTTCTGAATGCTCAGTCTATCCTAACTGCAATCAACATCAAACACCACGCGTGATTGCGGGATTTTTCTGCATTCGTTGAAGCTCTGCCGACTACAGGAAGATGGTAAAGCTTGGATGTTGACGTGGCAGCCCCGAAGAACGGCGCCGCCCTAGCATTACCAGACGAATTTGCGCACTTCTCTGGGTAGCCACTGGTGCCGTACCGACTCGCAACTCGCTGGTATGAAGCTGGACAATGTATGCGCGGCATTGAGAATTGCGCTCGTGTTGGAGATGCCAGTAGAGAAGCGAAGCCCTCAATTACGCGACATGAAGAGGCTGGATTGCGACAGTCTTATCGCGACGTTTGCTGTTCGCGAGGTTATCAAACACTACAGAAATCGCGTATAGCTCGAACGAGACTCTCTCAGAATTACAGAGCATGCGCCATGCGGCTGTTATAGGCGGCACACATTGGAGAAAAGACCTCTTGCGATGTTGTGCTCAAAATCCTGGTGGGCTTGACTACGCCCGCAAGCGAAACGTCAATACCTTGCGCTCTTCCTCAATCCACCGCCAGGGCGATGGAATCAATGAAAAGCTCGAAAGCAGACCAGCAAAAATTGCCCCGCCGAGATCCCCGAAGGAAGCTCGTAACAGTCCCATACCGCGCTGTGCAATGCAGACGAGACTGTTAGATGAACCCAATCTTTGAGCTGGGTCATCGCAAGAAGGTAAGTATGCAGAATTACAGAGCAGTGAAGAGCGGTATTTAAGCAAAAAGGAGAGGGGCCTGTGCAGACTACATGTGACTTGTACACTAGGGGGAGGTGACCGTTGTCTGGCGGGTGCGGAAATTGCTGCAAGGGGGCCACATCCCCACTGCGTCCAGGCTACCTAAGCGACTCTGTTCCGTTTCTGCCGAAAGATCTATCGTGAAGAATCTCATCCAAAGTTTTCCCTGGCTCGTTCTTGGCCGGACGTCATCGACTGTCGACGACTGATGTCTCCAGGAAACATTTTTCGTACGTCGGCCAAGGGTCGGCGTATGCAATATGATCGAATACTTGGTGGATCAGATGGCGGAACCGATCGAGTATAAGTTGTGCAGTCCAACTGGGACAGGATGAGCAAGTCTTGTCCCGGAAATCTCACACAAGATGCTTTGTGGCGGTGCATTGCGAATCCCTCTTCTTGTGCTTGCGTCGTGCGTTTCGCTCGGTAGAACAGCAACGCTCTTCACGGGCGGCACAGTGATAGGCTGGGATCGCTCTGCCAGCTACCTCGATGTTATCCGGAATGGCTCTGTGTTAGTTGAGAATGACACAATAACGGCGGTTTTCTCTGGATCGTACAATGGAACTCTACCAGCCGACCTGGACGTCGTCGACGCTGCCAACGACATCATCTCCACGGGCTTTATCGACACCCATCGCCATAGCTGGCAGACGGCCTTTAAGACTTTGGGCTCGAATGTCACACTGATGCGATACTTCGAGCGCTATGGCACCGATTCGCCCGCTAATGCGCATCTTACGCCCCAGGATGTGTACATTGGCCAGCTCGTCGGGTTGTATGAGGCCTTGAACGGCGGTGTCACCACCATTCTGGACTTCCCGCATTGCACATGGTCGGCGGCTCACGCCATGGCCGCGCTCAATGCGACGCTGGAAAGTGGGGTAAGAATTGAATTTGCGTACTACTTCCAGGACTATGCGAACTTCACAGTCGATGAGCAGATTGATCTTCTCCGGGATCTAGTCGACGACGCGCGTTTCGACAGCTCGCCTACGGAGCTGGGCATCTCCTACGATGGCTTCTCCAGTTCTGACAGGAACCAAACGCGCACCATACTTGACTTGGCGATGTTAGTATACGACCATAACAAACGAACACAAGGCTGATTCGTGATAGTGAGAAGAACGTTTCCGTAGTCACCACCCATGCGAATGGCGGCGTCTATGGCGCCCCAAACTTTCCTGAGGTCTTGGACGGATTCGACTTCCTCAATCAATCTATTCCCATCGTCTTCGCACATGCCAGCTATCACAGCGCAACAGATGCGCAACTGCTGCGTCAGTACAACCACTACATCTCCACGACCCCAGAATCGGAGATGCATTACGGTCACCTACATCCCAACAGCCATCTCACCCTAGACCAGGAGGCTTTGGGTATCGACACGCATTTTACCTTCTCATCGGATATCTTGACGCAGGCACGATTGTGGCTCCAGAGCGTCAGAAAGATCTTCTACCGCGAAGTTGTTGATCGACGCCGCCTTCCCGCCGAGAACCCCATGTCCGCCAACCAGGCCTTCCTTCTAGCGACTCGTAACGGAGCACTCGCATTGCGACGATCAGACATTGGTGTTTTGGCCCCAGGAGCTAAAGCAGATCTTCTGGTGTGGAATGGCCGCGCTCCCAGTGTACTTGGCTGGGCCGATCCAATCGCTGCGATCATGCTACATGCGAATGTGGGAGATATCAAGCATGTCATGATCAATGGAAAATTCAAGAAGCGAGACGGACAGCTGACTGTGCCTGGGTACATGGCGCTGCAAGAGCGCTTTCTGGAGAGCGCGAAGAGAATCCAAGATATCTGGAAACAGACGCCGCTACCAATTACAGAAGGTGAGGCGGAAAACGGGGTGCCTTTCGAGAAGCCGATGATGGCGGATATCGAGAGAGGCGAGGGAACTGGGTATGGTCCTTTGTACGTCTAATTAGAGTCCGGGATGCGCGCTACTGATAGATAAACACTGGTAATTTTAATAGACAATAGAGTATGAACATGAGACAATACTCTTCCTCACCATTGCCATCCAGGACCCTGCCTGAAATCTTCCTGTTTTCCACACGAACCCACTTCTCCACACCTCATACTTCCCCCTTGTCTTCCTCCAGCGCGAGCTTCTCCTTCTCCCTACCCGCACTACCACCATCGCCCTCCCTCTTAACATGCTTCTTTTCCCTGGTATCTGCGCCCAGCCAAAGTAAGTCGGGCCTGGAGTAATGGCCCACAGCGTCCGCGAAGAGTCTTATGCTGATCAACTCATCCATGTCTAAATCGGCAAACACGAAACCCTCTACATCCATACCAAGAGGCTCTGTCATCCTCCGCCCGTCGGGCCCATACACAGCCGAGTCGCCACCGCCAATGTGGCCGAAGAGCGGATTGCCTTCGACACGGTGGGCGGTAATGCCAGCAGTCGAGATGGTAGGATGGCAACATAAGACGAAAGTCGAAGCTTCTATGGCGTGGACGCGAGAAAGAGCACTAGCGCCTTGGAAGAGGAGATTGGTTAGTTCTTCTATATGAGACAAGGGAGAAGGGTATAAGCGAAGGGGAAAATTGGCTGAGGAAAAAGAGTCTTGGAACCGAGAAAAGGGAATAGCGGCTTGTGTGTTGGCAACAAGGCTATCATACATACCTTCAGAACTCATACCCCAGGCCACCTTACTTTCAACCCCTTTCTCCGCTAAATGCATTGGCGGCCACGCCGCAACATGGATCTCCTCATGCTGGCTATTCGTGTGATACTTAAGAAGCGGTTGCATGTGTTCCCAACAGTTTAGTCCACCGACTCGTCCGATGCCCTCGACCTCTACCACGTTGTTGAGACTGGTGCCGTCGCCGTCCCCATACACGGTGCGTTCCATATGCGTGGGTTTAATCTTGCGTCGCTTCATCACGATGGTACCCGAGGCGTTGATGATGCATTGCGCTATGTATAGACTGTTGTGGTCGTTTTCGCTGAAACCGAGGACTACGGCGATACGAGCTGTGCGGGCTGCAGTGCAAATTCTGGCCATCTCGGGAGAGTCATACGATAGGGAGTTTTTGACGTACTTGGTCCCGAGCTCTACATCCATGGGACGCTGCCTGTGTTATTTTTCTCATGTTAGTAAACCGCAAACGTATTGATGTTTGTTTGAGCCATCGCTATTGCTGCTGCTGTCCAGCATATCCAGCCTCATGGACGTGACAGAATCAGACAAAAACCGAGAAGGCAAAAAAGAATACACACCAGATCCAGGCCGGATATCCTGGAATCCAAACCTCAGGAAAAACAACTAATTTCGCATCTTCCCTTGCTGCCTCAGCGATCAATTTGCAAGTCTTATCCACCGTAGCTGTGAGATCGAACCACACAGGTTCATGTTGCGTGACTGCGACTTTGACAATCGAAGACTTCGACATCTTTCCTGTTCGGTCGAGGTTAGAAGCTGCTTAGTTGACACGAATAGAGGGGACGACTTCAAGTTATTCACAAGAAATATGACAGCGCAACTGATTACACGGCATCGGGACCTGTATAAATAGTCAAATGGAAGATACTAACATGAATCCATGCTGACGCGGGGTAAAAGAAAGGGCGGATCAGGACGATAGTGAGAGTAAGAACGAGGGAAGGCATGCACATGTGGATCGCTTTTCAAAATAGCTCAAACAAGGTACGATAGGGGAGATCTCGGGAGAGGACAATGTTGTAACGACGGGTCTGATTCCGAGATAGTCGGAAAGATAGGTTCCCACGATAGGTTGCAAAGCGCGGGGTACACTTGAAGTTACTCGAATGCAGCGTTGTGACCGATCGGCTTGCTAGCATTTATCATGTTTGAGATGCGGACCGCGGAGTTGCGCCTCTTCGAATCGTTTCTGCTTCATTAGAGCTAGAGCTTTAGTTGTTTGTTCGCTATCGTTATCTTGTAATGTCCTTTTCGGAACTTGACGACTTGGCATCTTTCTCGATTAGATGCCGACGAAATCACGCGAGACGGCAGTTCGGCATTATTCCGCACCTGTTTCACGAAGACATCGGTACGCAGTGGAGTATTTCCGCACGTTCTCACTTCCCGCCATGAAAGCGGTAAATGAACAGAACGATGTTTTTCTCGATGGATGATCTACGCATAAAGTCCAAACTTCGATATCGGGGAAATGGTAAATAGCATTCATGCCATCAACCAAGCTGATTTGGTTTGATCCAGTGGTTGTGGTGAGTACAAAGGCACAACATAAGAGTGCTGTAAGTGGGATCGGGAGAATCGGTTTGTGTGAAAGTGCTGTAATCATTATTCTGGGCTCAGCTCACAGGCAATTCCAGAAACATTATATGCAGGCGCGTAATTGAGTCAGGCACACGCGAAATGATACCTAGGTACCGTAAGACACCATAGTGGTAAGAATCAGGTGCAGCTAGTACAAACCTGTAGGTCGCAGGGAATCTGTTAGACGCGAGGTTTGTGTGCAAGGCGGAAAGAGCGGCGCTGACGCTGATGGATATCTGCGTGGTAACGGAAGGCTCGCGCTTCTGGTCGAAGAAGGGACGCGAGCTGATGGCTTCGCGTATGTTTCCTCATGATTACGATACGAAGACGCTCGATTCTCCTATCAGTTGTGCCCCATATCATGTACCCTGAGGGTATTCGGTGTGTTGTATGGCAACAACTACAAAGCGTCTGAACGATTTGTATTTCCAGATATCACTCCACTAACGGACATAGGTATCATGTGCGAACACGCCGCTCCATATTCTTTTGGTTTTTGGTATGACAGAAAGGGCAAGACAGGTACAGTGCAGAACGCTGTTGTTTTTAATGCATTGTCCAAGTACGCTCTTGGTGCCTAAAGGTACTTACCGGAAGACGCCATGAGAACCACCTGAATGTTTGCCATGCTAGCGCTCATCGACAGCACTTTTTGCATCCTTCTCATCATGTTGCTACAAAGGTAAGGACAGGAATGGAGACTGACAAAGTTGAGTAGGCGCAGCAGCATTGCTTTTGTTGCTAGCGAGATCGACGAGCAAGGCTGCATTCGCCAAGAACGCCATGCTCGGATCATCCATCGTATCATGATGGAGTTTTTTCGCTGACTACCTGAAGTATGTAGGGCTGATTGGCATCAGGTCTCTAACGCTTGCCAGCCTCAGAGGAACGGCTTCTCATTCGTCATCGATCTATAGTTGTAGTGTGGCTTCTCGCCGGAGTCAGGAAGAGATAGGGAGAGGCGTGTCTAGAACACAATCTTCTGGCCCCTGATGTGGTCACGTTGAATACCGTATCTTGATGTGGTTGGTATATCTTCGCAATACCCAAAACGCTTCATACTCTAAGCTGAGATAATGCGTGATAGAGCTTTCTTTTAGGCACAGCCCAGAAACTGAATAACGCTTGCGTCCTCATAGCCCTGTTGCAGCCAGACGGGTTGGTAAGACCTTAAGAACAGCCTATTGTGCGACATATTTATGCTAGATTTATAGCTCGTTGACAGGTAAGATAAGACCCAGTTTAGTTCCCACAGTCACTAGCGATGGAAAACTGTAAACAAGATCGAAACCTTCGACTTCTCAGTAACTTCAGCAATACATAAATTTTGGCAAGCCCAAGTCCAGCATCGCCGATATGGAATATCTCAGTGCAAGGATATCTAACGGATGCTAGTCCGACGGATGAAGAGCGGAAGATCTCCAGACTAGTGAACCGATGATTTCATTGACAATGAGCATGCATATTAAAACAGAGAACTAGCGATCTCTTGCCCGCTTACCCCTGGAACGCCTTATATTGCGGGGCCAAATCGATGGCAGAAGTTACGGGCTGACAAGAACGCCATGCATGCATATGCTAATAATTGCTTTGCCGCCCTCTTGCACGACTTGTCTCGAAGATTAATGCTATACGCATCGCGTTGAGGAGCTATACACTGTGCTTAAGCACGCGCACTGAAGGCGCCCTCAGGATGCACACCATACCATTAAGTCAAAACCAGGGACACCACCAAGAGTTTGTTCACCACATTGCCGAACGGCCTCAGCCTGGTGGCTCGGTTTGCGTGGCCGGAATGAACAGGTTCAGCTTGTACAAGGCTGGAGCGTGTCACTGCAGCGACTACGCGCCACTCGCTATAAGGACGCGAGCCCCAGCCTGTATCGCCCGCGGTGCTCATCCAGCCCCCGCCTTCGAAGCACTGCTCAAGAATGGCCAACTCAATGCAGTACAACCGTGGAAGATCTGGAGGCCCCACCGAAGAGACTTTGTGGTATTTGTGGCTACACCTAGAATATACGCTCGTGGTACTGACCTTAAAAGGACTCAGCGAGACTCTTCACGTGGACCGACCAGTCGAGTTGACTCGTTCCCCTCCACGATCGCAGAAGAGCAATGCGACGACTGCGAGAAGCAAGACGCTGATCTCGCGTATTGTAACATCTGCAATGTCAATTATTGTCCAGTCTGCTGGCCACGTCAAGCGCCTCATCGAAAGCAACGGCTTGCATCAGGAAAGGCTACGCATGAGAAAACCGAACTTGCGCTAGCTAAGAAGATTCGAAATGTACTCCTACCAACGAATAACATTCACGCATTAACGCAACTGCACGAGGATGATGCGCAGACAGCTTGGTTCGGTAAGTATCTGTGTGTCCTTGTCTCGATCTCTGCTAAGTGCCACTGCGCTAGGTATCGAGCGGCCGCAAGGTGGGGAACTTCCAATCTTTAAGGACTACGGTCGCTACGATTACTTGCTCTCAGCTACGGTAGAGGAATGGAAGGCAAAGGGCGCACAAGGTGGGAGAGATGGCAGAACCCCTAGCTTAGTGTCCTTTGTCGGACAATCAGGTGCTGGAAAGAGCTCATTGATAAAACTGTTAATCGACTTGCGATTGACCAGTTACGAGGCCTGGCCAACACCAGTCGTAGGCGGTACAGGTGTAATCGAGCCCACCTCCGAGGACGTACATCTCTACGCTGATCCAGTCACAGCAATCACTGAGACACCCATATTCTTTGCTGACTGCGAAGGTCTTGCTGGAGGTGAACGAGAACCGATAAGCGCCAAGGTCAGACGGCAACTGAAAAAGACTAATGGAGCAAACAACAAACTACCGCAGCCCATCTCTGAGCGTGAACTTGGGTGGGCAGATACGAACAGCCTGCGCAGCCGAGAATTCGCGGTTACCAATCTATATCCACGGCTGTTGTACACATTCTCCGATGTAATTGTGTTTGTTCTCAAGAACCCACGGTGGGTAGCCAGATCATATAAGCTGTGGCCTACGATTGACCTTTCGCAGTGTCATAGAAAGTGTGTTAGAGCAGCTGGTTACTTGGGCAGCAGCAGCTCTCGAGATGTCTTCCAACCAGCCTGTCCTACCACATGTCATTATTGCACTCAACGCGTGTGACCTCGACATTGACGAGCTTCAATGGGATCCGGACATCGCTACTGCTTCTGTTCTCGAATCTCTATCACGTACAGTTTTCAAGAACGCAGTTTTCAAGAAGTACGCCCAGTTCTGGCGCGAACGACAGCGACAGATCGAGACTGTGCAGCAGCTAATTGAATCATACTACACCACAATTAGGGTGAGAGTATCAGCAATATTGGCAAAACACTTCGCTGACACACTCAGGTTGTCCGTATTCCGACGAAGGAGCGCCCTCCTTTGGTTCAGGCTCAAATCAAAAGCCTCCACGCCAACATCACCGTTGCCTGCGAGATAGCAAGAGACCGGAAGACTGGACTTCGTATGCTACTCGACGCTGAGGAGCTTCAGTCTTTTTTACAATGCGCATTCGATCACTTCGCCGCTTCCCTTGACCGCCCTTTCGACTTTGTACAAGCCTCATTCTCGAACAGCCCTATTCCGTTAGACTTCGGTGGGAACATACTGAAATTGGCAATAAGGATCATGCATGTCTGGCGTAACAAGGCGGATACCCAGCAGATCTTCCAGGAGCTCAGTTACATGGTCGCTTCGTGCATCATGTTGGATTGTGCACGCCAAAAAACACGAGGTAGGACTGCCAACTTGGCACGTAGAGTTGTGAGCTGACAAACCATAGGCACTGCACCAGATATATTCCCACTCTACTTGGCACATCTTGACGCAGCCTTGGAAAACTTTTGCGACGGTCATTGGCCTTGTGAGTACGTACAGTCTGCCACAGGTTTGCGTTGTGTCAACGTGAAGAGTGGCCATGGCTCGAAAGGCCATCAGACTGCGAACGGCAAGATCATTGCAGTCGGAGAATACACGTCCCGCTGGACCTACGAAACACTTCATGAAGAGTTCATCACCAACTCCTACTATAGACTCGATGAGCTCCTTAATCGCCTCAAGCGAAAGAAGACGCCGAGCGATGATGAGATGCAGGTCGCTGCTCATATCCACCGAGACGACGTGATGACCTGGTTCTACAGTCACGTTGCTGGAGACGACAAGTCACAGGGATACAGCAGCCACTCGGTCTGCTTCTGTTGTCTCTCAGAGCCTCCAGAACATTGTTTACCATGTGGTCACGTACTGTGCACCCCATGTGTCAAAACTTATGGACAGCAGCACAGTAAGACAGAGGTAGACATACAGAAATGTCCTCTGGATATTCGTGCTGCCCGCGCGTATCAGCCATGGAGAATACATTTCAAGCCCGAGTCGGCAGGAGTCCGTGTTCTAACATTGGATGGGTAAGGCATTTGCCTCGACTGAAAAAGCGTAAGCTGACACGGCATAGTGGCGGCATCCGTGGTATCGTTGAGTTGGAGATCCTGCAAGGCATAGAGACTGCTCTCGGGGGTCAATTGCGCATTCAAAATCTCGTCGATCTTATTGTGGGAACGAGGTACATGATTACGATCTCTTGAAAACATGCTGCTGCTGATTTTGCCTTATAGTACCGGTGGGCTTGTTGGTCTGGGTCTTGCAAGTTGCAATTGGAGCGTGGCGACCTGCATCAACAAGTTTAAAGAGCTCTGTGAGAAAGCGTTCACTCGTCGATTCGGTGGCAATATGCCTCTTATCGGGTGGTTCGTCGACAACATCAATCATTCGAAATATGAAACCACCCCTTTGCAGGAAGCTTTACAGACTGCCTTCACGAAAGACCGATACCTGTTCGGAGGTCAGCGCCTGGATCAGAACTGGACATCTCCAGTGAAAGTCGCTGTCACGACCACTTCCTCATCGTCTTCTCCAGTAGTCCTGGCGAACTATAATCGCCGCTGCGAAGGAAAGCGTAAGTCTTCATGAATACATACTGTGACGCACGAGTAACGTGGTGACTAGTGTCGTATCAATTCCAGAGACCCGAGGGCGTCGAGAACGAGCTCAAGACTTGGGAAGCGTAAGTTTTGATGGCCTAGCTAGAGCCATGAGATCTGATGGCAACAGTGCACGAGCAACGTCCGCAGCACCAAGATATTTCCGGCCCTATCTTCACGAATCTTCCAAGCAGATATACATGGACGGCGCACTCTACCACAATAATCCGATTCGTATAGCGGACGTCGAATGGAAGCTGATCTGGATTAGGGGTCCCATCACCCATCCTGACATCATGCTGTCCCTTGGCACGGGGCTGGTTGCAGACCAAGACGAGAAATCTTTGAAGAGCCCAATCTCCAAGCGGGGTCTGATCCGCAACGGGAAGATGCTTCTGAAGATTGCCATGGATCATATCGAAGACGCTCTCGACTGCGAGAAGACCTGGGATGACTATATTAGGCCTCTCGTCCTTCAAGATTCCTCATCAAGGTTTATACGATACAACGTCGAGCTCAACAGCGATCTGCCAAGTCTCGATGATGTCAAAGCCCTTCAACCGCTGCAAGAAAAAGTAGCGAGAAAAGTCTTCCAAGACCCACGCATCACCAATATAGCATTTCAACTCGTGGCTACTTGTTTCTATTTTGATGTTGAGCGCGTACAGCAATTTGCACAGAATGCCGCGATTGCCTCAGGTACGTAAAATCAAAAAAGGAAAATTCTAGCTCTCTAACGCAAAGAGTACAGGTCGCCTGTATTGCCGTTTCTCAGATGGCTCTCTCGAGATGCAGGAGTTGGGAAAGCTCATTCGCACTCAGTCATATCGAGACAGGAACCCATTCTTCCTCGTACGGGAGAAAGGTATACATGGCAAATCTGAACCACGGGAGCTAAGTCCGGATATCGTTGGGTCCATGATCAATCAGGGCAAATTCCCGATGCGCAAGATGAACATCGAATTGCGCAACAAGCTCTCCGACGTTGAGATCTATCTCTTTCTGAATGATGTGCAACAGCATTCCATCAGTGGGTTTCCCCGTTGTCTGTTCAATGATGAAAACGACAAAGCTAGTAAGTCTTGATGTCTCCGATGAACATCTGAAGGTATGTTGACAGCCACAGAAACGCTACATCCTCAAGCAATCAACACACGCCGTTGGGCTGGAAGATCGAATAGCAGGAACTACCAACGAAGTTTGTGGACTCCTCCGTCTAGGTCTAAGATATCACGGCGCGAGACAATCTCTTACTACTCCGATCCAAACCACGTTATGGGATACGCTACACGTGAGCAGATGAAGAAGACTGCGGAGGCTCTATCGCAAGGCAACGACTCCAATGTCAACTTGGCGAACCAAAGGTCTTCAGCGATTATCACCCCCGGCGTCTGGGAACTGGACTCAAGGACCCTACCTCCAAGACCTCCAGTCGAACTAGATGCAAACCAGATCTTTGTAGCATCTTCCTCGTCATCCCAGACTCACCGCAGCTCTTCTGACGCTCATCTGGACCAAATCAGTCATACCTCCAATGAATCTCTGAGTGCTGTCAGCGTATTTGATTCGCTCTACGCAGACCCTAGGGACCAATCTAGCCGAAGAACAGACTCCGTCGTCAGCCCACCCCCTCCATATGTCTCTGATGTACAACGGATTCCTCCTGCTGATATTGAGTTGGAGAAAGTGGATGCCCAAACACATGAATTCGCTCACTCTCCACCGGCGGAAGCTCCTTCACCTGCATACAATAACAGCACTAGACATAGTGAAGACTATACTGCTTATCGTCTTGGGCCTGGCGTCGTGAGAGGAGATGATACACGCCCACGAAGTGAGCTACGTGTCCTCACGGAGGAACAGGTGCGCTGGCAAAGAGCAACGAGGCCAGTCGTCCCACTGCGGGAGACGCAAGCTGAAACCACATCGGCCCTAACTAGCTTGGGAGGACAGGATACTGCGGAAGTGACTTCGATTGTTCCGTCACCGGCTCCTTCTCCAGAGATTGTATCCGTTGAACGTGTACCCAGTCTGCCACACACACTGCCTCCGCTAGATGCCTTTGAGACTGTAAGCTTCTCTATTACTATGGACGGAAGTGCACCTACAGATAGTACCGTTTCCCCTTCCAACCACCGAGGTACAAACAACCAGTGGCATTGGGATATCCAATTCTGAGCAACTGGCTGGCGCATGAGCAAACATCATTTTTCTTGGGGTATCAGTAAGATTATATCACGAGTAGTCGTGCTCGATCATTAGTCTGTTTTTCTGCCTTGGCTATGACTGTACTACAACGTGGATATCGGATATTGTACCTGTCCACCAGAGGCCGAGGGTGAACCTTGCTAGATTGATTTCGTACGCTAATACGAGCTATACGGTCTTTGGAGTTAGCTAGAATTTCTCCTTCCATGGAAATCGGACTAATGCTTACCTAGTTAATGATCTAAAGGTTATCTGACAACCGGAACAAGAGCTGTAGTGACTGAGAGAGCTTAAAGAACGCAAAACATGTAACCAATATTCACTTCTTTAGCTCAATATCATCGCTTACGAAACTCGGCGTGTAATACGCTCATTTCATTGGCTATTTCAACAAATGCGATATGCATCTTACGTCTCACCATTCGCAAAGTTGAGTTGTCGGACGGATCAGTGGAGTCGTACGCGCATGGAACTTTCCAGATGCGCTATACGTGTACTAACTATGCTGAGATTTGGTATTAAGTGTTGATTTCAAGGCGTTGATGTTTAGAGGCAGTTGCCTCGGCCTCGGGTCAGGTCTCTCGTATTACCCTGCCGTAGCCCTGCACCCAGGTGCTTCAGGTTGCAGCGTAGAAATAAAACCAACATAGACTTCCTCCTTCCGCGCATAGAAGGAACAGGCTTGGTTCTTGGCGCTGATTACGTTCGTCGTGTTGGTCTAGTACGACTGGATGACCCGACTTGATCGATACCTGGGCCTAAGCCACAGCAATATCAGGCAAGCAGGACTCAAGATCCCCCAAATCCATCGAGGGTATCGATATAACAGACAAAAAGAGATCAAGAAAGAAGAAGATTAGTTAAAGGAGGCACGCGAGGTAACAATGAGCAAGAGAAAAGACATGAAACTAGTAGATAGAGTTGTGAAGTAATAGAGCCTATCAGACACAGAAGCTTAGAGGTTTCTACGCGCCTAATTAGCAAGAAGACAGCATAGGTAGAAAAGGTAGGTAGAGAAAGTGGTAAAGTTCTTAGGTAGTGAGAAGAACGCTAGAGTCAAAGCTAGAGAGAGCGGTAAAAGATAGACAAATCGAAGTTGATGTACTTAGTGATTTGGGTTGTTTTGCAGATATATTGACTGGTGTTCCCAGGGTATGTTCAATCCCACTGTGTATAAGCTAGCATCTGGTCGGGAAACGTCAGACTGGAGACATCCGGTACGGCGAAAGACGTGGAAGGGTTTACATCCACAGCAGCCAGAGGGCATAGCAAAAAAAGATGGACGTTGGCTTATTCATATGTGCAAAAACAAGAAACAAAACATACAACAGCGGGGATTCGCTAGTGGTCACCCACCTAACTACTAATCCGCCGGTACACTGCTTGTATATGGCTGAGCGGACGGGAAGCCTAATTTTCAGTGTCCTATGGTCGTATGTACAGGAATGGGAACTTTTCTTGTATGTATACCCAGTGTAAGCAAGCTTCTGGCAACGAGCACATCTTCGAGCTTGGCCAGCACTTTCCACTAATGTTCCCTTCTCTTATCTTCACGGACTCGGGCATAGTGATATGTAAGACGATGTTTGGGAAGCTGTAAAGTGGTGGTGGTAGGCGCCGTGTGGCGAAGGTTTGTAGAGTGCGGTGTGCGAATCGGTTTGGTGGCGTAGTGGATGTCATACCATGCAATTACCCGAATGAACATACTCGTCTGAATGCACAGTTGATGCTGAGAGCTAGTGTGAGCACGGGAGACAGTGTAAGATGACACGTGTTGTATACCCATAGTCAACGACGCAAAAGACGACTGCAGGTCCAACGCATATGATCGCCGCCGCTAGGCACCAACGCCACGATATCGCACCCTTGCCACTTTCCACGATCTAGGCCAGCACCGCCACACCTCTCACTGCTATTCTTGTCATCTTCCATCCGGTTTCCATACCATACCATCCCCATCCTTCCGCCCTTCCGCCCATTTAGCTGCCTACCAGCGGTAAAACACGGCACATCAGGCATCAAGACGCGTAACATGTCCCACCGAACGCGCCAACACGCTGTCACATGCTTCATCAGGCGTCCAATCAAGCTACGGCAACGACGTTGTTTGGCAGTCGGGTGGGAGTCATTCTTCGTTCCCGACTCTGAAAGCTCCAGCGAGAAATGGCCACAATATCTCTGTTGGGTCGGAACGTGGGCGAGAAGGCAAACAGGTATTGGGTGATTTTCGTTGGCTCCGTTCGGAGTCCGTCGGATCACCAATCGAAGAAGGCAACATAATGAGAAATGCCGACGAGACAATAAGCCGGACACTGCGGATTAGGAAGTAAAGAAGTCTGCAACAGGTATCAATGACGCCATATTACACCTAGATAATGTCGCCATGTACAGTCGTATCTCGTACTCGGATACCATGCCCATCACGGGCACTACAGCGGCGCGGTTGCCTGGGCATATGCGAACGTCTGTCTAGGCAGCCAGTGCACACGCCCTTTTGTTACCAAGGTTCGCGGCTAAGGCAACCTCACTAGACAAGACATACGGGAATGCGCTGCGAACAAGGCTAGAGTGTACATCGTTATTGGGGGCGAAAAGCCAAAATCAACAACAACTTCACGCAATGAAAGACGGGATCATGTAGAATGCTACAACTGGAAGCAGTAGGTATATGGTTCGTTTTCTGATTATGAGTGGCATATTCTATCTACTCTTCTCCGATCTGAGTGAGGTATCATCTATAACTTCCTCTATGTCCTTCTCCTATCCGATCCATCGCAATCTTTGGTATCATAGCTTTCGTAGATGAGCATGTACCAGCCATGCTCAAAGTGCGCATATAGTAAAGGAAACATTACAGTTTAGAGTGATACCGAAAAACGCTCCAGTAATATGTACAGTGAGCGACAAGTTATGAAACAGAGAATGAGGCAACGAAAGTGCACTGTAAAGATGCACCTAATGACCTCAACATGAACAGTGCGAAGAGACTCAAAAGCAGCTCATCATTGCCTATGACTCTGTTGCAGAGCCATGACAGCCTGCTCTAGTTGCCGTAATCGTGAGTCCTTTTCCTCATTCTCCTGTCGAAGACGCTTGATTTCGGAGCGCATCTCATCGTTGCCACGGTCCGAGATACCAGAGTCAGAGCCTACTCGCTTGCGCTTGAGACTCAGATCCTCCTCCTCGCGGTACTCCATGGGTCGGTTGTAAGGTGACTCCGAGGCTCGTGACTCAGCGATGGGTGAACCTTCCATCTCACGCCTGACCATGTCGCGGCGGATTATCAAGCCATGCATGTCTGCTGACATTGATGTTCTCCGGTGTACGCGGCGAACATGCTCAGCCAGGTTCTCCTTCCGCGTGAAGCCGGCGCCTGAGCTGCGTTTGCAGTCGTGGAAAGGGCAGAAGAGAGACTTCTTGGTACCGCCGTGCATCTTGTGAACTTCACGTTCGTGGCGAAGAAGGCCGCCGCTGTAAGTGAAGCCTTGAAGTTTCTCGCAACCCTTGACGTTGCACTTGTAAGGTCGGTCATGTTTGTCCATGTGTTTGCTGTGGTGAAATTAGTCAGAGATTGCTGTCAGAATGGGACTTGGAATCACTCACCTCCATTCGCATTTTCGGTCGAAAGATGTACCCCGGCATTCTTGATACTTGCACACCATCTTGCCGTCTTCATTGCGCGGCGGTTCTTCGGCGCGTTTGTAGCTGTGGTTCTTCCGTAGTGATCCGTCGTCGTCGCCATCTTGTGAAGAATCCACAGATATCCCTCTGCTGTGACTTCTTGGTGGGCTTGTGGTTATGATCGGTCGTTCGCCAGCAGTTGGAGATGTTAGAGGAGACCGAGGGCCGACCATGCTGACGGGGGTAGGCATGTCGGTAAGTGAATTGATGGAGATATTCCGCTTGTGCTCGTGTGGGACTTGCATAGGAGTGGGATTTGGTGATAGTTCAGTCATGATGTTCTGGTCGTAAAGGTTGAAGAATTGGGGGTTAAAGCACTGTTGCTGGGCCTCAGGTTGGCGATTTGGTCGATATATACCAGAAGACGCGAAGTCAGTTTGTGGCTGAGCAAAGAGATTGCTTTCCGCCGCTCCGGTGACTCTAACTCTCGGAACTTGAATAGATGTGATCAGATGACGCGGACTGTCTTGAGGTGGCAATGAATATGGGTGCCAAGAATTATGGTGGTCGGAGCCCAGATGCGGAAAGGCCGTTAGAGGTGGCGCAGCAATGCCTGGATCTTGAGGCAAATAAAAATTAACGGGCGAAACTGCCTGATAGTCTTGGGCGGCAGGGCGATAATAAGTATCTGGATTGGAATCTGTTAGCTGCCGCTACCTAGGTATGGATTACTCCAGCCTGAAACCTGGGTAGGTAGACGTTCGTGACTCAACTCAAACCAACACGGGACACTAGGCACTTACCTGGACGCGGCGATGGCTCCGCTCCTCCAGCCTGACTAACCCTCAAGACTGGCAGCCTGCTCGTGAGACCATCCGAACTCAGATCGGGCTCCCAGGTTTCCGTGTTTCGTGCCTGGAACAGATCATGGCCCACATTGACGTTTGTCGCATGCGTCGCATGCTGCGGTTGTTCGCCAATCAGCTCACGGCCGAGGCTGAGGTCTGTAATGCGTTAGCACCGCTTGACTGGACAGCCACAAACTTTAACCACTTGTCCACCTGAGTAGGAAGCCTCATTGGGCGAGGAGAGATGTAACACGTACAGTCTGACGATGCACCTGTATCCCACGAAAGATTGAGGTTTTGTAGCACTGCGTCGTATCGCACGCGATCTTTGTTGCGATTCGTCTGTTCGTCCAGAGTTTTCTCATAAAACATCCAGCACACTCCCCACAGCACAGCGAGCGAGGGTTTGATGGTCCATGGAAAGGTGCTGAGAGCTTGCGGCTTCTCGGCGAATTCAGTGAACCATGCTAGTAGTTTGCGCTGCTTCTTGTCATGATCGCCGTCGAGCAACTCCTTGAACGCCTTCTGCGCCAAGACTTCAATGAGGTCTGTCTGCAGTCGCAGCAACAAATGTTCATAATTGGCAATGAAGTTCTCGTCAAGGATAAGTCCAGCGTCAAGCCCTTGGGCCAAGAGCCAGTCGTCACCATACTGCCGGCGACACTCCGCAAGCACGTTGATCGCTTCGTGTACTGCCACGAGGATCTGTATCGTCTCATTCAGGGAACAAGCCTCAAAGATCGGCGTATTATGGTGTTTGAGGAAGAGTTTGTTACTACCCGCAATAGACGAGAAGGTGTTTCCTGCGGCATGGAGCTTGCCGTCGACCGAGCGAAGCATACTAGAGCCGCAGGTTTAGTAGTTGAAACTAAACAAAAGTTTACGTGAACGTACTGTTGCACCTCATCTCCTAGGTTTCGACTTGCGGGAGCAGCCGAACCCGGCGTCTGCAGGTTGCGCGACGATCGCTTCAACTCCGGATTCTTGTGCTGACTCTTGCAGATGCGATGGGCGACACGACGCGACTGCTTCGCATCCTGGACGCTGATCCGCGATAGACCGTTGGCAATACTTCGGAGGCTTGGCGAGAGTCTGCCGCCAAGGGCGTTCGCATCAATTGAGCCATCGAGCACGCGCGGCTTGACACGTCGACGAAGCTGTTTGACAAATTGTAGAATCCTAAAGGTGAGGATGATGCTCGTTTGCTTGCTGCGTTGTTGGATCGCCATTGCTAAGCGAGACGGGCGGTCCGAAGACGTAAGAAGAGACGTGTACGCAACCTTCGCCGCTTAGGCTCATGGCTAGTATGTATACTTGGAACATCCAAGGGCGGAGCAGACTGGAAAGTGCCTGCCGGTGAGCCTGCCTTCGTGAAAGGGGAGTGTCAAGCCACGCTGTATGGCCACACCCTGCGTGATTCGCCAGTTGACAGCTTGTTGAAGTGCACAGCCACGCCAGCCTGCCGCGTCTTGGCCTGGGGCATCAACGCCAGACCCGAGACCACCTCTCTCGCCCTATCGTTTCTTCAGCCTGGCGAAAGACAAGGTCACGCATTGTATCGGTGGTGTGGCGCAGCCATTCTATCTGTCCTGCACGAGAGCTCTATAGGTAGGCACCTACGAATGTGCCGTGTTGAGGTCGCTTGACCGCCATAGTTTTGTCGCTGCCTTGAAAGAAGCCTGTGTTTTTTCCAGAACCGGTGTCTTCTTCATGCGGAACTTTCAGAAACCATTAGGAAGTATCGTTGACCGCTTGACGTCTGTAATCCGATTCGGCGGGATCTGCGGCCAGGATGTAACGAGGCTCCCCCGCCATGATGGTGCAGCACCCTCCCGAAACGAGCTGGAACATGGATTCTGCGTAATGTCTCATCGCTGGATGTGATGATGGGTGATGTTCGGATTGAGAGGGCGGAACTAGAAAGATCATAGCATTGGGTGGTTATGATAGTGGCGTGGAAAGAAGAAAGTGCTCAGGCATAGGACATGCGATAACCTCATTGTCCTCCAGGGCTTCGTCTCCCAGATGGATGCAGTGATCTACTAGCTCTAACTATAGGTGTTGGTCAAGTCGACACACTCCGCCCGGGCAGCATCCCAGTATATAACCCGGCGTCACACGAAACATTCCCACAACTCCATGCCGAAACATCGCGACATGTTCGCACCGAGTTCAAGTCCGGATGTCCGGTTGTCCAAATGGAGACCATGTGTGCGAACTTCCAAGCGCGGCCTCAACGGCTTCGGAAGCTTGTTTCCTTCAGGCATTGCATGAACAAGTTTTGAATCTTTGGGCGGAGAGTTGGCTACCGAAACCTGAGAGGCCTCAGGCGAGCATTGTGTCAAACACGTGCCGGGGCGCAGTATTACAATTCCTGCAACTAGCTCGCACTCGTCTCTCCATTTGTCGATGGTTTGTTCCGTGAGCGTTATGTGTAAGCTGTCAGTTCTCGAAGCATGCTGAGTAATGAGGGTTGAGCATTTTGACATGTGGTCGCTGGGTAACGGGGAGTCATGTTGTGTGAAGAGATGGAAAAAAGAGACATGAGAAGAGACTCAGTTCCTTGGTTTGTGGAGAAGTGTTATCGCTCATGTTAGTATATTGTACAGCAACCACGCTGGCTATGCATTTTTGCCTTTTGCCCAGCTCCTTCGTATCCACCCTTCCGTCAGCCTCATCTACCCTCGGGTGATCATGACCTCAGGCCCAACAAGAAGCTACCACCACTTGAACCACCACCGTTGCCACCAGAGTTACCACCAGGCAGATAGCTGATGTTGGGGTTCCTCGCCAGCATCTGCGCAATATCCTTCTGGGTCTCAATGCGCCTGATCAACACTAGACCGTCACCACTCTTTGCCACTGCCTTTGAGATTGTGTCGGCAGCCTCGGCTTCACCTTCAGCCCTGATAACGTTTGCTTGCCTCTCTTGCTCTGCCTTCTCTACAATGAAGCGCGCGCGCTCGGCTTCTTGTTGTGCGATCTGCTTCTCTTCGACGGCCTTGGTGAACTCTTTGCCGAAAGTCATGTGTGTGATGGAGACGTCTTCGAGGGCAATGTTGAACTCGTTGGCGCGCTTGAGCAGATCGGTCCGGATGCGGTTGGAGACGGCCTCTCGCTGAGTGATGAGTTCTGCGGCATCAAACTGGGCAACGATGGCTTTCAGGACTTCGTTACCGATGGAGGGGAGAACACGCTCGTCGTAGTCGAGACCGAGATTCTATAGACACGTTAGTCGTGGTCCTTGGAGCTTCTGTCTTGCGCGCGTGGGTGAGGGGATAGACGCACTTGGTAGATCTTAGGCAGCTGCTTGACCTCCGGGCGATGCAACACCCTCAGTGTAAGTGTGACCATCTGCAAATCCTTGGATCCCGTCGTTGTGCTGATATTCCTCGGCCTTGTCCTGACATCGAAGACAATTGCCCGTTGCAGCCATGGGACCAAGAAATGTGTGCCCTCGTTGACGACGTTTTCCTTGACTCCGGACAGACGGTCGAAGATGACGGCGCGGGTTCCGCCTTTAACGTCGTAGAGGGAGCTCTGCACCACGCTGGCGCCGATGGCAGCAGGAACGACCCAGCGGAAGAGTGAGGTAGGTATCGCGGCCATGGTGGGCGGGTTGTGAGGCGTTGGTGTGGTGAGGCGGCGGCGGCAGGCACGATGCGGAGAATCGTGACAAGTGCATGATGCTTCTACCAAGTTGGCTGGTCCGTGCTTGTGCGGCGAACCATGCCTGTGATTGGCGCATACACCACCACCATCATCGACAGACACACAAGAACATGTGGGCGAGTTGCCATATCTTTATTGGAACATCCACAAACTCCGTGCGGGTTATGCATATATGTGTGTGGGGCCTCAAAGCCCTTGTACGAATCTCTCACCCGCCCATCATCTCCGCTATAGACACAACATCGACTCACTACTGCTCAATGAAACCCTTGTGCTCCTTGTGCGCCTTGTACCAATAGCTGTCCTCCTTCTTCGGCCGGAGCTCTTCCGACAGCTTCTCGAGGATGACCTCCAGAAGCTTCTGACGGCCGTCCTCGTTCTCCGCATCCCGGTTCCACACGGCAATCTGTACAGCATTCCAGCGAACACTGTACGAGATCCCGCAGATGTCGTCGTTGAAGGCTGTCTAACAGTCAGTATCTAGGACATGTGAGAGTGATTCAAAAGAGATGACTTACAAGCACGCTTCGTCTCGACGGCCCCCTGCAAGACGTCACCGACGGCAAGCAGGCACATCTCGTGCCAGAACTGGGCCGCCAGGTCCTTGCTGACCTTGAAATACCATGCGCCGCCGCGCGTGTTTCGTGGATCTTCCCATACCGGCTTCACGCCCAGGTGGAAGAGGTGTATCGAGTCTCTCAGCTTCAGGTTCTCTACCGGTATGTTATTGAAGTGCTGGTAGAACTCCTTGACGGAGACAATCTGGTCTCCAAGCGGCTTGGGCCGAGTAAGGTACTCTTCTGAAGCCACCTTGTCCTTTGGTGCGGCCTGCTGACCCTTCTCCGCCCAAAACATCCACTTGAAGCGGAACTCGGGAACTCGCACCGACTTGAAGATGTTGTTGAGCATGGCGGTGCCACGTGCAGGTGATGCTGTAGCGGACTGCTCTTCAGCCGACGCCTTGGGGAGGTCAGAGGTGCTGAGCACCGGGAAGCGGCCAGCCATGGTAGGAGATGTGACGGGGATGCCGAGATTGCTGCTAATGAGCTTGAGTTCTTCGATGTTGGAACGCGCGGTGAAGATGCGCTTGCTGTTTTCGATAGCAAGGTCGTTGGCGAGGTCCTGGGTAGTGTCCTTGGAGTGAACGTTGAGAGGGACAATGTCTGCGTCACGGGGAATGGCTTTGTTGAGAGCGACGATTATGCGATTAATTCCGACCTTGGACTCGTATGTCAGGGGATTACTGGGGTAAGGCACACCGTGCTTGGTCGCGTGGACAAGGCCTTCAAGGAGTAAGACCGAGAGGGGCTTGCGCGCAGCTGCGGCAGTCCTAAGCTTTTTGCCGGATTCGTTGGCTGAGGCGAAGAACGCTTCACGCTCGCTGATCTTGTTGTGGTCAGCGTTATGAGCAGCAGAAGCTCTGAGCATGCCGATGATACGAGTGGTCTCGTTCATAGTCATGGTGACGGATGTGAATGTAGTGTAAAGTAGAATGATGCAGAGAAAAGAGACTATGACTGAGAGTCTTGAAACAGGTATAGAAAACTGATAGAGGATGGTTTGCAGATTTGTGAAGGGTGATGAAGAGCTGGAGTGTGATGGACGAGAACAAGTCAAGGAGAGGCGATTGGGAAGTCTTTACGCTTCTGTCCCAAGCCGACAACGTGTAAAGACGGATAATAGCAGGCGGTTTTACTGGGAGCTCTGTTCGAAGAGCGCGAAGCAGCATCGTGGTGAAGGTGAAGGCGAATGGACCAACCAGCGTCCAGTGTTGGGCTTGACGAGATCAGACCATATGGACGCGCTGGCAGGATAGCAGCAAGCCCGTGATAATGATAGACGCTCCATAGAAATAAACGAGACGTAGGACCGTCAAATGTATATGCAAAGCTCATAAGTGATGGAATGCAGGATTGAGACGGTATTGACGTTGGCGTATGTCGGAGGTTAAGGACGAATACGAGGCCATAGAACAAATGACGCGGAAAAGACGAGGTTATGAGAGAATCAATACATACCTAAACTCGATATTAGATATCTCTTGTAAAGACACCTAATTCAATACTCTTGGTGAAGACCTGTGACCGTAGGAAGTGGGGCAGCGACACACCGACTCTAGCAAGGACAGAGACAGGAGACAGAAGAACAGGTGCAGGCAGACAGCACAACAGTGAGACGGTAAAGATTGACAAGAAGAGGTGAGGTCAGATATGTACGAGGCCAGCTGGACCTTTAAGAGGCTTAACCCCTCGGAGACCACAAGTCAGCCATGCAGGCGCCCGCTCTAACTACGTTTCAAGACGCCGTTTCACGACCCCTGTTGACACCAACGAGTCGCTTCGGCCTCAGGCCAATCTAGAGCCGCATGCGTTGTCTATGGAGCATCCTATGGGATACACGACACTTGTTTACACACTCCAGCATGTAGCATGTGAATATCTGGCCCGGCATTGGCCTTGAGGCCATGTGTGCTGGCGGCGGCGGTGACGTAGCCCCATGGTCTTCGCCCAGTCGGTACCGTTCCGCGAGAGATCTGCACAAACTGAATCTTACCCAACTTTTTCCCCAGACTTTTGTAACCCACTCCAAAACGCGTAGACAAACTCCAGCCGTCCCTACTAGGAGTGCTAATATCGGAGAATACCGGACAATATGTCGTCGCCATACATTCACGAGGCCGTCGCGCACCGCAGCAAGCGCGTGCGCTTCTCCAATGAACCCGAATCTTCGCCGCCTTCGATGTCCTCCGACTCGGCCCTTGCGTCGACCAAGGCCGCAGAGGACTCTACGACTAATGCAAGCGACTTGGGTACCTCAGACAGCGACAGCGAGCTGTCCGAATCGAGCGAAGAACCCAGCAGCGACGAGACTTCAAGCGAGGAAGAAGAGGACGACGGCGGCGAGGACACAGAGATGGAGCTTGAGGAGCCAAAATCACAAGACGGCATTGTAAATCTACGCGCAAACAGGGGCAAGAAGCCCATCATGAAGCTGGGCGATGAAGATCTTGGACCTGACATTCGTGGTTTCCTCAAAGACTTTTTACCGCAGTTGAAGGCTGCAAATGAAGAGTTGGAGGCGCAGAAGAAGGCTGGAACACTGAAGAGTTTAGACTCTGTCGAGGCGCATGAGGAGGGCGAGCCATACATTGAGATGGTGAGTGCTTGTTTCCGCCGTGTCGCAGGGCGCTTCTAACGGTGTCTAGGACCTTGGATTAGGCGTGCTCGAGGAGAAAGACCCGAATGCGAACAGCGACGACGACAGCGCGAGCGATGCCGAAGATGGCGACAAAGAGAAGGATGTGCTGGGTAGATTAATGGGACGTGACAAGAAAGATCCAGCGGGTATTGAGGTAGTGCAGAACACGACGGGGTCATAAAGAGATGATATTTAAGAGCAGCCCATGCTCTGCTGTCGCGCGCTCTACTGTCTTCTCCCACCACTCTACTTAGTGTCCGACACCCCCCTTTGCCCACGTCGCGTCAGCATTCTCGTGGATCTTGGGCACCTCGATATACTCTCTGACTCCCTTCTTCCTCTGGTAATCACTGCCAAATCTCTGGTCCCTTTCCTTTACCCGCTTTTCGAAATCCGGCATCTGATCTGCCGCCGTATAACTCGTCATCAACTGGGGTGGGCCCAATGGCAGTTTGTCGCCCCGGTCAGTCTGCCAGAGATGGTAGATTTTGCCGTACAGCTCGACAACCTCTTCCATCTCTTTGTTCTCAGCTACTTCCCACGCGGCCTCTGGGACGCCCGTTGGTCGCGGCATGATTAGCATTCCGGATTTCACTTCGAAGACGTGCGAATGCCAGAGCTTTTGCTCTTCGGCATCGAGTGTCTCGTAAAGCTTGGGGGAGATCATGTATTCTGCAAGCTGGTTTAGAAGTGAGCTGCGCAGTCCGAGAGGTCGATGACTTACCGATACCGATGATTCGTGCGCCTTTTTCAGGAGAGTCGTAGAGGATACATTGGCGGACTTCATCATTCAGGTGCGCACAGTAGTGGTTTGCTTCGACTGCATCCCGCTTTGGGTCATGGGCATATGCATGGAACGCGTTGAGATGCGCACATATCCTCTTGACTGGAGCGAAATTCTGATCGAATCAATAAAGTTATTATCAGAAAGGCCTGATGGACTTACCTGAGTCATGGCAGCACCAGCTTCAAGTGTATTGTTATATGTACTTTCTGGCTCACCAGCTGTCTTGTTATTTACGGGAAGTGAGTCCATCTTGTCTGGTTGCGTGGTCTTGGTGATGGTGATCTGCACTTGAGACTTCAATTCGTAGTTGGTTGCGGGGTTCAACTTTCGTTGCTGGGAGTTTTATTGATAGAGCAGCCCGCCAAAGTCGCTGATGATAATCGCTGGTCAGAAATAGTTTTCGGCATCTCGAATGACGAAGTTCCCAGGGCGCACATCGGATCATGAACATAGGTTGACGTCATCATGATCTACGATTGGGCAAAACAGCGGACCCTCCAGTTCTCCTTGAATCAAGCGGAACAGTAGCGACGGGTTTAATGAGAGTATTGATGCATTCAGCACTGCTAATAGAGATCTCTGAAAGCACGCGATGTATGGATTTGACTAGTATATAGAAGTCTACGAGCTCCGGTTGGAATGTGGCGAATGAATACACATCTTTCTTGAGATGGAATCTTCTGGCCCTATCGGATATGATAACGACTGAGAATAACTAGTAGACTACACTACCATTGAACTTCGTCGCTTGAACCTACATTCGACACCAGTCTGGACGTTGAAAGAAGCATTGTGCGTCTTCCACGGCCGATCATGCGCCATCTCAAAGTCAAAACGGTGCAAAACCTCTGCAGTCACTTTGTAAATCTGCGTCAAAGCAAGCTATGAATCGTTAGCAAATCTTCAGTGTGTGATCACGGACAACTTACAGGCCTACCAACGCATGTTCGCGTCCCTGCGCCCCATATCAGGATTCTCTTATCCATCACTCTCGTGCGGTCTTCGCTCTGTAGCCATCGCTCGGGAACAAATTCATGTGCATCTTCCCCAAATACATTGGGGTCATGCGAAACGATAGCTGGATTCATCCCAACGGTATAGCCCGCAGGGATGTGCTTCCCACAAAGTGTGATCCCCTGGCTAGGAGCATACCGAGGCATCGAGACTGCGAAGGCAGAGAACAATCGTGATGCTTCTTTGACTGTGGCTACTAGATAGGGAAGTGAAGCGAGTTGAGCATATTGAACTGGGGATGATAGTGTACCATTCTCGAAGGCTGCATCGACTTCCGCACGCGCTTTTTCGAGCTTCTCTGGGTGCTTCATTAAGAAGTAGAAAACGGAGCGCATAGAGATAGATGTACTGTCCGCTCCGGCCATACTAGTAGGGCTTAGTGTGAAGTCTGGGGGTCTGGGTGTCATTATACATACATTGCAACCCACATATCTGACGTAATTTCCTTGTGTGAGTAGTTCACCTTTTCTCCCTTTTCCTGCACAATTGCTAGCAACTGAGACAGTAGATCGGGTCTCTTTTCAGTCACTTCCAGTGTTCTCTCGGTGGCTATCTTCGTCTCCATAATTGCAGTCTTCTTGATATCTTCTACAGCCAGCACAGCTCTCAGTAAGCGCGGAACACAAACAGCAATCAGAAGCAGGAATGGCCGCATGTAGTACGGAGTCACTGTCAAGAGAGTAAGGAAAGGCATCGCAAGATGAACCGAGTGGATGTAGCCTTTGTAGTCGATGCTGTCCCGTAGGAATCCAAAGGCTTGACCAAAGAACGCGACGCCAACGCTATCAAATGAGTACCTAATTCACGTGTTAGCCAGTACAATCACAATCTACTAGTGATCCCATCTGGCTCACATTTCGAGCCAGAATCCAAAATCGAATGCTTCTTTGCTATCAGCGAAGCTATCCATCCGTTCTAGAAAAAGTTCCAATGTCTCGTCCAGCCGGGATTCATTCTTTAGTATACTGGAAAGTGAATATACGCCTCCAACAATCCTCCGATACGCTGCGTGAGCCTTCTCGTCGGTCTGCGTAAATAGATCCGGTTGGCTGTTTAGTCCTTGTGGCCGCCATGGTTTATACCAGTCCGTTTTCTCGAGTGGTTTTTGAACTGGGTAGATATACGGAATGGCCGTGGTATCGGTTGTGACGATCTCATCGGGTGCGATCCGAATAATCGGGCCATATTTCCTGTGAAGAACGCGCTCGACCATCTCAATATCGCCTTTGTGATGGTGCCACATAAGCCATGTTCGTGAGACTGAAGGCCAAAATGGCCCTGGAACCTTAGCTAGTGGATGGAGGGTTCGAGCGTAGACGAGCCAGATGAGATAGTATGCCGCGAAGGATATAGCGATGTAGAACAAGAAGACAGAACTCGTTTTTGAACTAAGAAAGACATCGGATAGGAGCGCCATGTCGTAGATGTCGACGTTGAAGAGAAGAGCGACTCGAAAACTATGGTTAGTAGAGGGAGAGCGCGCACTATGTCCCGTCGTTTATCAGTGGCAGCAGCGCTCTGCAGTGAACATGACAGGGTTGTTTGCTGTGACAACGAGTCATGATCTGAACATGCCATACTAGTATACTCAAAAGAGCAACGAACCCGATGCGTGTACCTAGGTATGCTGCAAGTACTGGGGCGTAACGCAGCCCCTCTGATTCTAGCCATAGTTTGCGCTCCACACGTCAGTCAGAGATAACCTAACTGAATTCGAGCTTCACCAGCTGGACGCGGTATGGGGGCTAAGGCTGCCATGAATGAGGGGAGGGATCGTGAACCCTGATAGAAAGAAACCGTTTTCGGTATATCCGAGAGCGGTAGCATCCTTCCGACTCCCCAGCAAATGAACGTAAGGAAAAGTGCTGCTGGGTCTGCCTCGTGTCATACAGTCAATAGCCTAATGGACTTTGAACGAAAGTTACTTCAAAACATCAGATCCCATGCTTTTTGTAGCCGGTGGCTTTCCTCATCTCGTTCTCGAATGTCGATGCAGCTTACTCATGTTACTGTTAACGCTCTCTTCCCGCGCTCAGAAAGCCACGAAGCGAGACGGCGCTAGCCATGAACAACCGTTGTCACTCATCCTTGCCTTCATTACGCGACGAGTCTTTGGCCCGCGAGCTAAATGTAGGGCGTACGCACGTCTAGGCTGCTAGTAAGCCGATACCTAGGTGAATTTTTTAACCGCATTGACGGATGCACATCCTAAGAGGCCGCTTCATATTCTTCGCTAGGCACCTGGAATCCTATGGTAATAATGACACCCCCATGGAAACGTACAGCTACGTCACTTGGAAGCTGATCGGACTACTCACTACGGAGTACGTTACCTGGTTCATGCTGCCAAAAATAACTTCGCATGGATCGTCCCGTGTACAATTGTTTGACTGGGAAGTGAGCATGGAGCCGCCCGAGACAGCACTTCTGCCATAAAGCGCTAAGCTCGCTTCGAATTCTAAACAGGGCAAATCAGAAACACTGGGGTTTCAATACTATGAGGAGGTTGGAGGATACAGACGAGTGCGCTGATGCTGTGGAGGACCTGTGATTAGCATCTTACCATGACTGACTGACTTCGTACTATATTTGATCATCACTCTCCAAGTATCAACTTCCCCGATACTTACATAGAGCCAACCACGGGCAATGAGTCGCAGAGAAGTGGTAGGTGATAGTGATCTGTACACACTGACCAAAGTATCATTACAAGATCAATATTTTCATCTCACTCATGACGAAGAACAAAAAAACATACAACAGCGGGGATTCGCTAGTGGTCACCCACCTAACTACTAGTCCGCCGGTCAAAGGCTTGACGTGTGGAGAGCAAACGGGATCCAGTATACTCCTTTACCTGTGGTCGTATGTGAAGGTACTCGAGAGGTAAAGGTTATATGCCGGTAGTGTTGTTTCAGCTCCAACTGTTAAATTCGCGATAGCTCACAAGGCCCTCCTGAACACCATGCCATACCAAACTTTCGTACCAACCCACTTCCACCCTCTCTTGCCCACAGCACCACCCTCAACATCCTCCTTTCTCATATCTCGCTCATTCACACTTATCACCTCAAGTCCCGCAGCTCTGGCTGCCTCTGCAGTCTCCCCAACTGTGTAGACGTAACTACTTCCTCTAACCTTCACACCATGTGCATTGACGAAGCCGGCTTGGCTAATACGACCCATGTCTGCATGCATGTTGGTTACCAGCGCTGTGCCACCTGGTAAGAGTAACGTGCGCAACGTGGCGAAGTAGTCCTCTAGCGGAATGTGCTCTAATACTAGAGTAGAGATGACTGCATGACTTGGCTCCAGGTTTTGAACAGCAGGCAATGGGGATTTCGATGGATCGTTGACTGTTGGAAAGCAGTCACAGCACTTCAGTCTTAACCGCACCTTCTCTTGACCCTCAATCGACGTAGCCAGCTTCTTAGTGGCGATATTCAACATACCCTGCGAAAAGTCCAGACCAGTTACTTCGATGCTCTTTCCGTTCCAATCATAGCGTACGAGCTTTCCTGTATTTCGTCCAGTCCCACATCCCAAGTCGAGGACATGAAGCTTCTCTTTTGTGACATTGCTGTTCTTGACCTGCGACAAGAATTCTGGAAGAACTTTTTGAAGTTCCAGATCGTCAATTGCTTGCAGCATGTTGCCATCGGTATCGTAGACGGAAGCCCATTGGTCGTAGGCAGCTTGAGTTGGAATATGCTGGACTGAATTGGAGGTGTTGCTTGCACTTGTAGCCTGCGTGGGGTTTTGTTGAACTTCCAATGTTGAGCCCGAGTCCGTAGTTGAGAAGGAGGCATTGACGTTTGAGGGCGGGTTGATGTCCACAAGGGAAGTATCGAAGGTCATATCAACGGACGTTGGTTGCGTCATGTTGGTTGAAGCGGCTCTCAAGACCTGATGGAGTGTTTTTTTTTTTGAAGAGGAAAGACAGGAGTCGGTCGTAGTTGCAATAGCAGATAATTGGCTGTGGCTCTAGCAACAGATGACGACGTTTATCGCGGATCTGAAATGGAATAAAGTTTCTGGGGGCTGATACTGTCTTCGATGTTGAGTGCCCAACGAAAGTCTATATAGAGATTCGTTTAGCCAATGACTCTACTGTGCGCCCTCTGCGAGTCTGATATGTATCCAGCATTGCCTATTTAGGCGATGTGTCGTACAGCTTCCACGTAGCGTGAGTCATATCTGCATCCCGAGGTATTAGGCTCCCGGGTCGCGCTAAAATGTCCGCGGTGTCCGTTTCGTCCAAACTAAATTCGTCATAAATTTGTTCTTTCCAAGCTGAGCTGAAGAACGCGTCTCGTTGACGCTTAATTGATCGTTCGTGGTATTCAAGACGAATTCAGATGGTAAAGTCGTACTGCGTACACTCGATTATAGCTCACGGGCATTGTCGTGCACTCAAGATGCTTCTTCGAAATATCTAGCCAGTACGCGGTTTCGATGCGTGACTAGGTGTCTGCGCGCCATTAGCGCGTCACGCAAACGCGTGTCCACCCAGTCCTTGCCCAATCTCTGATCCAATAGCAGATGCGTGTACGCAAAGACACTAGCATCGAACAAACCCGGTCTCTGCGCACCAAAGAACCAGTCGTCTTTGCCTAACAAAGCCTCGAGCGTAGCAAATGCTTCGTCTGCCTGGTTATAAAGCGTCTCGTCGTTGATGATGCTTGAGAACTTGAGGAGCTCGGTCTCGGCTGCCAGACGCAGTTCGCGGGATATGGCGAGGCGTACAAAGGAATTGCGGGAGCTCGGAAGGATGTAGAGGGGTTCGGCGATGGTGGTGAAGTTCGGGGAGAGATAGATGGTGTAGAGCTGGAAGATGTTAGCCATGAGTCGAGTGTGCTTTTGCGGTCAACGAACCCAAGCTCTCCGTATACGATGGTCTAGTAAACTTAGATATGCTTCGTATCGCGGGTCTCCGGGCTCTTCTATTGCCCTCTCGCTGTTGTTCATGGCCCATCGTTGCAGCTTGCTGGAAGGAACAGGTTGGGATCGCTTGTAGGGATCCGAAGATGATGGAATCACGAAAGGTAATGAGCCGCTGGGAGAAGCATGGTTGTTTGCGGATGCGACTTGGAAAGGTATCCTGGAGAACTTAAGGTATACCTGTGATAGTGTGAGCCCGGTAGCGGGGCATCGGGGTGGTTTGAGACATAGACTGACCTGCCACTTCAAGCACGCTGGGTTGTGCGAAGGTGCTCCTCGTATTGCTCCTTCATCCGTGGTGAAGACATAAAGCACGTGAGCATTGTGATGCTGGGGAGCGCGTTGTGGAAAATCGTTGGCGGGATACGTGACGAGTGGGAATTGGTCGAACAACTGCTTTATTGGAGTCGGGACCGAGAATATGCTGCGTGACGATGGCTGTCTTCTGAGATCTCTCGTGGTACCATTGCTGTCGTCGGTCTGGGACATCATAGCTATGGGTGGTGATGCTGGCGATGATGTCGCAAAAAGTTGGTGATGCGGCGGCCTCGGAGGAGCGCGCGCCGACCTCGTGGTAGCTGCCAGTCTCCCACCCATCGACAGTGCACCAACACTATTTCTTACATCACTCATCGAGCCTTGGTAGCCACGTCTCAATGTTTTCTCAACTCAGAGTCACTGTCATGAGGTCAGCTTCTACGATGAAATCCCATCCTAGCTCAGGACAAGAGCCTGATGATTGAAGATATAAGACGCACAACGCAAGGAAATATCGGTCAAATTTAGTGGCATGTCTCTGCACGGGAAAGTGAACGGGTGCGTGCGAGTAACAGAAAAAGAAGCTGAACTATAATGCAGGATGGGTGGGCTGAAAGCACACTTCCACATGATCATATCAAAAATATGCCATCCAGCGCCTCACAGGATTTGTGGCGTAACAGTGCCCAACCAACGATTCTCATCTAAATCACGCATGCCTACCTGCATATACTGTTCCTCTTAGAATCCTTGGCAATGTTAACATAAAGTCCTCCAGCCTTGTGTGATCATCATTGTCTCTTCGTCCCTTTCTTTCAGCCTGGCCTCACGATCTTCTATCTTCTCTCACCATTCATTATCTATCTTCTAGGCTCTATATCTCAGCCCTCTATCTACAAAGATGTCTCACATTCCTTCGTACCAGGGTCGTTCGGGCTCAGATCGTCAGTTACAGCTGCCAAACAGTCAGAGCGAGATTGAGTTGCAGAGCTATAGCGACAGCCTCACAGACAATCATGATACCGAACATGATTGCCCTGCGAGTGACTACGACCGACTTGTAGAAACACCTGTAACGAATTCTGAGACCACAATATGGGAACAGGGCTTCTGGGCACAGTTCCCCACTCTTGGTTTGTTTGCGCTCTTCGGTGTATTGGCAAGTACGTGGAAACCCTAGTACTGTCTTGGTTTACTTATATTAACAATAGATAGGCACCGTAGCTATGATAGTCATCCTCGAACATAGTGACGGAAAGAGACTGGAGGAATGGCCATACAACACCCTCAAACCATCCGTATACTTGTCCATCTTGTCCGCAATGGCCAACACATTGCTAGCCTATGCTCTAACAGAAGGACTAGTCACTTCTTTCTGGAGAACCGCTTTGCACGGACGTACTGTAAGCATCTCTCTCAAGCAATAGCCAACTGAACTGATTTCGATAGCTACGTGAGCTCAATCAGAACTGGTTGTGCGGACAGTCTCTGTATCGCGCTCTACTCCAGGGTTACCATACTGGAGGAAGAATCACAGCTGCAGGTGCGTTATCATATCCTTCTTCTCTCCAAATTCGCTTGTTCTGACTGGCCAATAGCATATGTACTCTCAGCGCTTTCTTTCACTCGTGGTCCTTTGAAACAAGCAGCTTCGTCTGTGTCAGCTAACCAGACATATCTTGAGAACGGCAATCTTTCAATTGCAGTTGCACAGCGCTTGCCCAACAGGTATACTGCGTTGGGCGGAGAGGGCCTTCACATGTACCAGAAAGCCCCAGGGATTACTACCAACTTCACCAAGATTATGCAGGACTACTCGTTGCAAATCCCTATTCACATCGACCTCGATAACCACCTTTGTGTTCAGAACGATTGTAAAACATCGATAAAGGTGTGTGTCTGGTCCCAATGCGTTCTTATTTCTAAACTGACATCCATTAGGGCTTTGGTTTCAATGTTGCCTGCAACAGCAAAGATATTCCTAACAGCACGAATAGTTCTGGGTATGAGGCTTTCAAGATTTCCACAGAACTGAAGACTATCAACGAAGAAGACCCTGAGTCTACTGGAAATTATATATCCTCATACGTCTTCCACGATGTGGGCATAACCTTGACTGCTGTGCTCAAGGACCGGCCGCAATCCGATGATGTTGGAAGCATAGTGAATTTTAAACACCACAGTTGCGATCTGACTGGTGGAATCGTTGAGTATCAAGTGCGCATCCTTAATCAAATAATAACGTTGAGTGCTGAACGCTCCAATGATCGGTTCTTGGAAACCATGTAAGCCAACCGAGCTTCTCATAAGTCATTAGGCGATGTTCAGATCACAAACATCAGCGATTGTCTTCTGATACTGTTTTTTAGATCACCACTGTGGGGGCTCGGTGCAATGAGTCCGGGTAGTGTCATGGGCGGCTTTCACTACGCTGCAGACTATCTCTTCACATCCGACGTCCAATATACAAGAAAACCGACAGATACATATACCTTCACCGGCGCTCTGGCAAATGAAAATGTCATCGAAGAAGAAGCGGGATTCAAACATTTCCAAAACCCGATGGATAGAATGCTCGACAACATGAGAGAAATCGCCTTCCGTACAGCGGTAGATGTAGGAAGAGACCCAGGCCTGCAAAACGAAACAGATGCGTTACAAAATGTCCCATATGAGGGAGAGGGTAGACAGTCTATTTACATTACGGATACCCGTTTCATGATAGCGGCGGCCATCCTAAGTCTGTCAAGCATTGTTGCGGTAGCAACGACCTTCTACGGCTGGTGGAAGCTAGGACGGACCGTGTCGCTGAACCCATTGGAATTAGCCAAGGCTTTCGATGCGCCTCTGCTTAGAGAAGTAGGTAGCAATATCACTGTACTAAATCCAAAAGCACTGGGGCCTACGGGTTTGCAGCGCGTACAGTACGGGGAGCAACCAAGCAGTTACGGTGACGATCTTAAAGCGAGTAGGAAGACTGCGCACAAGAGACTAGTCATCGGGACGTTGGGGATGTGAAGAAGCCTACGGATGGGCAGTCGTAGGGTACTTGATCATCATGACTCCGTACAGGACACAGAGGCATCAAGCAGTATGCGGGATATTGCGACAAGAGCATACTTCTCTTTTATATGCAACCAAATTCATTTTCACTCTAGTGCTCAAGATCATATGGTCAAAGGGGGAATCAAATTCTATTTACTCGGGTCATATTTTTCCCTTCTTCATGAAGCAGGCTGCTGCTTCTTACATATCGTCACTCATTACAAGCCAGAGACAATGCTCCAGAATCTCAAGAACCTCCAGAAAGCAAATCTTACGCTACGCAAACGCTTAGATGAGTTGCTGGAACGCGCGGTCGAGAGGAGATCGGAGAGGCTTGACATCCTTGTAGAAGTCAATGGTAGCCTTGGCACGCTTGGCAATACCCTCAGGGGTGAACTCAAACTTCTTGTAGACCTCCTTGTATGGTCCAGAGGCACCGAAGCGGTTAAGACCGAATTGCTCGTGCGAGTACTTCTCCCAACCCATAGTGGACATGACCTCAACACTGAGGGATGGGATACCAGCGGGGATAACCGACATCTTGTAGTCCTTGTCTTGCGCATCGAAGACCTCGAAGCAAGGCAGGGATGCAACACGAGCGGTGATGCCCTGGTCCTTGAGGGTCTTGACGGCCTCCAAGCAGAGGGAGACCTCAGAACCAGTAGAAACGAGGGTGATCTGGGCGTCCTTGTTCTCAAGAGCGACGTAACCACCCTTGATGGCTTTCTCCAGTGTTGAGCCCTCAAGCTGGGGCAGGTTCTGACGGGTAAGGGCAAGGATGGAAGGCGTCTCCTTGGAGGTAAGAGCCATGTAGTAAGCAGCAGAGCACTCGTTTCCATCGGCTGGGCGCCAGACCATCATGTTAGGCAGAGCGCGGAAGTGGGCGAGAGTCTCGATAGGCTGGTGGGTGGGACCATCCTCACCAAGACCGATGGAGTCGTGGGTAGCGACGTAGATGACGCGCTGGTGTGAAAGAGAGGACAGACGAACAGCACCGGCAGCGTATGAAACGAAGTTCAAGAAAGTACCACCGGCGGGGATGATGGTGCCGTATGCGGACATACCGTTCATGATGGCAGCCATAGCGTGTTCGCGGACACCGTATCTCAGGTATCGACCAGACCATTCACCAATGCCGAGCTCCGGAGGCTGGAAGTCGACGGCCTTCTTCCATCGGGTGTTGTTGGAGCCAGTCAGATCGGCGGAACCGGAGAGAAGCTCGGGAACGACGTCGTGGATGGCCTCGAGAACGCTCTCGGAGAGCTTTCTTGAGGCGATGGCAGGGTCGGTGGGCTTGTATGTAGGAAGGGCCTTCTGCCAGCCCTCGGGAAGGTCGCCAGTCAATCGGCGGGACAGGTCAGCGTGAAGCTCCTTGTGCTCCTCACCGTACTTCTGGAAGAGCTTGTTCCACTCTTCCTCGGCAGCAGCACCCTCGGCGGCGTGCTTGTGGTACATGTCGTAGACCTCTTGGGGGACGTCGAACATCTTCTCGGGGTCGAAGCCGAACTTCTCCTTGACCTGCTTGCAGTCGTCGGCCTTGAGGGGGTTGCCGTGGACACCGCCGGTACCCTGGAGCTTGGAACCGAAACCGATGGTGGTGGTAAGCTTGATCATCGATGGCTTGTCGGTGACCTTCTTGGCCTCAGCGATGGCCTTCTCGATGCCCTCGAGGTCGGAGTCACCGTCCTCGACGTGCTGTACGTGCCAGCCGTAGGACTCGAATCGCTTGGTGACATCCTCAGTGAAAGCGCACTTGGTGTCACCGTCTGTATGACGTCAGATTTTGAATTTCCTGAACTTATTCGCCAAACATACCAATGGAGATGTGGTTGTCATCGTAGATGGCAATGAGGTTTCCGAGCTTCAAGTGACCGGCAGTGGAGGCAGCCTCGCTAGCAATACCCTCCATGGCGCAGCCATCACCGAAGAACATGTAGACGTGGTTGTTGATCAGCTCGTAGCCGGGCTTGTTGAAGACGGCAGCGGTGTGCTTCTCAGCAATGGCGAGACCGACGGCATTGGCGAAACCCTGACCAAGTGGGCCAGTAGTGACCTCGATACCGGGGGTGTCGTGGGACTCGGGGTGACCGGGGGTGATGCTGTCGACTTGCTATTATGGTGTTAGTGCTGCTGAAAGACCAAGCTGTCAAAAGTACGTACGCGGAAGTTCTTCAAGTCGTCAATGCTGACGTTGTAGCCGAACAGGTGGATCAGCGCATACTGGAGCATGCATCCGTGACCGTTACTAATCACTCATAGTCAGTTATTTGGTGTCGTACGATAGGGTGTGAGATGGAAAAAAGAAAGTCGCGATTGAACTCCGAGAAAGACCGAAGAAGCAAAAGTGACGCTCTCTTGTCTGCGGTCACGGCAGAGATGCGCAACTTCTCAATTGAATTGCTCCAGAATTGCTGCGCAATCCCAGCCTGCTTGATATGACCGTCATAGCTGCCATTGTTGGTATGAAAAGTACAGAAGAGTACGTACGAGAGAACGAAGCGGTCGCGGTTGACCCATTTGGGGTTCTTGGGGTTGAAAGTCATGAACTTGTTGAACACGACGTGGGCAACCGGGGCCATGCCCATAGGGGCACCCGGGTGGCCGGAGTTTGCCTGGAAGGTGGCATCGACCTACAGAAACACACAAAATCAGCCATTGAACCTCTCAAACAACTTTCCGCAGGCTTCAACACGCTGCTGCCGCTTTTGTTGGGATGAGAACTGCTAGCGGGGTAGCTGTTGATAGTGGTGGGGCGGCCAATGGTATCAGAAAACAACAAGAGAAGTGTACATACCGCTAGGGTTCGGATGGTGTTGATGGCGAGCTCGTCAGTCTTTCCGTACGGCATGATGGGCAGTCTGTCGATGGGGAAAAGATTGAAGAAGAGAAGTTGCGCAGACGTGCTGGTGTTTAGGTTTTGTAGTTATAGTGGGGTGGCTAGGCGTCATGCCTGCCTCAACTATAACGCCAGAGTGGACGTTTTAGTGGGGTCTCTCAAAGCCCGATTACATCAACCAGTCGCCGCACTTTCTGCCATAACATGCAGCATCCCACCCGTCCAAGCTACGGACACGAATTGCTGCTTCGTTTTAGTAAGCTTGCGCCGTGTGCTGACAAGGCTTTGCGTGCCTAGTCCTGGCTATCATGCGCTGTTGCAAGTGACTGTCCATTACTAACCTCTTGCCCTGTACAGTCTCAGTTCCCTCTGTATCCGCCATGCGCCGAGAACGACCGCAACACGGACGTGGCGGATCACAGTGCCCCGATAGCGCAGGGAACCTCTCTTCAATCTCTTGCCTCAACTTCCGCCGCGCAAGTACACGATGCAACAGAATTCTTCCGGGCGGCTACCGCGACACCGGGATCGGCGCCGCGGCCGAAACGGAGCTGAGTAGATGAGGCTCAACCGTGGAACCCCCAAAACAACTGTCTGGACTAGAGCCGGATATTTAACCTGTTTATTCTCCGGTGCGCTGGAGGAGTGGAAGACTACCAAGACGAGAGACTAGGCTGTCGGGACAGTTGGATAAATAGCGCGCCCAGTGCTCTATATCCCGCTGTCTGGCTAATCGTAAACTCAACACCATGAAGCGTATGCGCCAAGGCCGCATCAAGACTAACGCGGTCAAAGAAAAACAAGATTTGGAGAACGTCGTACGACTTGGTTGACATCTCCATTTACATTTTCAATCTGCATAAACAAACAAATGAGCGCTGTGGGTATCTATCTCGTACTATACAACATGCAATGAGAATGACAGTCGTGTCTGGTTCCTCCAACTTCCCTGTCGTCCCTTTCCCTCCATTAAGAAAATCTATACACAAGAAAAGGTTTATGTAGTCAAGAATTGAACATCATCTTCGCACCCCATCACCCCACCCTACCTCCAGAAATAAATCCTCGCCCTTCTTTCTCGGCGTTAGTCGAGGCACCCACACCGGACTCTTCAACCCATCCCGGTCAAAGTCCATATCCACATCTCTGCCGATGTTCAACTCAGACATCTCGTCTCTCTTCCTTCTCACATTCAACGGCTTTACAAAATCTTCTTCATACATGACTGGGCTTCTACCCCATGTGCCGCTTTGCACACGACTCTTCCGATCGATACCCGTTTTCGACGCAGGTGTCGTACTCCACGACTCAGTGCTATTGCTGCGCACATGACAATGAACTTTGCGTGGGGGACTAGTGACGCGCGGCGGGGATGTGAAGGGGTCTCGATGAGGACTGTTCAATCTAGGTCGAGACTCTAGTAAGAGCGGAGGGAGAGCATTGTTGCGTTTCTGAAGAAGCATCGATGGATCTGGACCTCTGCGTGGACTTCTGAAGTTCTGCTGCTGTGGTGAGCTCTTTGGACTACGCGGCACAAGCTGATTCGACGCCCGCGGCACCTTTGGGTATCGAAGCTTGGAGATTGGTGACTCAGCTACAGGAGATAGCTGTTGTTTATTGCTAGCGCTCTCATCAGATAGCTGCTTGTCCTCGTCCTCGTCTTCAGGTGTCGACTCATTGCCGTTCGTTGTCTCGAAAGATGTTTGACTTGCCAGAGAGTCGCGCAAGTTTGTGGAATTACGCGAGGTAGAGCGTGACAGTGTGCTGCTGTGTGACTTCTTGGGCTTGACCTGCACAGTTTTTGGTGATTCTGTTGGTCGGATGACACGCGCTGGGCTGGCTTTGGGTGTTGGCTCTCGGCTCTTATGACTGGAAAAGTAGTAGTCGATGATATCCCCAGACGTGCTCGCATCTCGTGAGCTAGCAGTCGTAGCCTTGGATTCATAAGAGGTGGCCGTAGAGGCCATCTGGAAGGGCGGCGCCAGGCGTGGGCGTATTGCGTGCTCGGGACGAGGTGGCTGTGGTGAGCCATGTGAGGCTACCCCTCCCGCCACAATGCGCTTTGGCTGAGGTCTCTCATGGCGGACAGGAATATCGATAAACAGCTCGGATCGGCGGCCGGTTGGACGATTGTTGGCGGTAAAGTTTGGCATAGGCCTGGAGGGCTGTAGAGCACGAATAGGGGGAATTGGGACTGGGGGCGTGGGCAATAGCATCGAAGATCTTCGGTGCGATGAAGTCTCGTCCTCTTCGAAGACTGTCTCCTGAGTTATCGTACTCACGGGCCTAAGGGGTGCCTGAGTCGTGGTAGGCGCTCGTTGATGTGCAAATGGGGCTTTTGAGGCGTTGTTAGGTATCAATGGTTTTCCATCCAGCTCGGCGCTGATGGCTAGACCTATCTGGTCGAGCGGCAATGAGGAGTTCGAAGAACTGTTGGAAGTCCCTACGCCCAGACGCTGGGCTGGACGCGCTGGATGCTGCTTGCTGCCTCTGCGAAGAGCTCGTGGGGGCACCAGAGGAAATTGCTTTGGTGACTCAAGAACGTTCTCTACTGGGACATAGTGCGAGAAGCGTGTGGAAAGCTGCTTGCCCTTTTCGTCTGTATCGAAAACCACCCGTCGCTCTTTTCGTCTGCGCAAGCACACGCTTAGCGCCATGAGTCCAATGGCCATGACGAAAGCTGCCACTGCGGCCACTGATAGTCCGGCAATCTGTGCGGGTGTCATTCTAGGAGGAGCTCCTGCTGCCACAGTGACTGGGGCCGATGTAGATGTTGCCGATGATGTGGCAGATGGTATCGATGAGACGGTATCGGCGAAAGCGGACTGTGTAGAGCTTTCTTGGGTCCGTAAGGTAGATGTCGTCTTCGGTGTATTTGTTGCCGTCGTTTGGATGGAGGACGGAGACATGGTGTGAGTCGCGCTAGTGACGACGTAGGTAAGCACACTCTTCGTCGGCATAACTGCATCCTTCTGTCCAAGACAAATTCCGTACGCCGAACTGAGTGATGATTGAGTATCCTCCATTGGGCACGATAGGTATATGCAGCCCAGTGCCACTTCGCCCAAAGACTCTCCAACATTACTATAACGAGAACAAAGACATTGGAGGTTTTCCTGACCAGAACATGCTACGGGGAATCTTTCGTCCAGCGAAGCCTGTAAACATTGCTGTGCACAAAGAGGTACGTTTTGTTGGAGCGCCTGTGGGAGCGAGCTTGGTGTAGAAGCGACAGTAGGGGCCGCAAGCATCGGCGAAGTTAATATTATAAAGACTGAGGAGATCCATAGCCTTTGGAAGTGGCTCATAAGCATAATTGTACAGTATCTGTACTAGTGTCAGCTACATCAACCAAGACCGTATGACAAGAGGTTACTCACTAAGGAATCTAGACATGAGGGATGGTGCAAAGAAGCGCTGAACCTGCAGCGAGATGAACAAGGAAATTGAAGGAGAGAAACTCAAGGAAATTCGTAACGCGTCGCCAGTCTCATGAGATTTTGTTGATGTATCCAAGAAACAACAAGCGGGGGATGGTAGGCTGACAATATGTATTGGCATCTTCACCAGCCGCCGTGTCGGCGCCCTGTCTGGGCAACCGCTGAGGCGCCACGATGGCGGGCTTTGAGGTCATTGATACCTACAGTAAGCGCTCGCGGATTTGAAGAGAGGTGATTGACTGGAGAGTCGTCGGTTCGAGGATGTGGTGGTGCAGAGATGCTATTCTAGGCGCTCGCATCGTGCGCTAAGCGCTGGGGTTCAGGCTAGTCTACCACGTCAGCCAGTAATTGCACGGCGCCTGTGTAAACTTCACGCAGAACACCAAAAGTGAGTCTTGGCCTACGTGCATTACGTGGGACGAAAACACACTGCAGCCCAGCGTTAGCGACTACCCAAGAACCGCGTCATTGGTGATCGTTAGCTTGCAAAGGCGACGTGATACTCGACCGATGGTGTCGTGTACTGTCCTGACGGTCGCACTCGCTAGCCGGCAATCGTACCTGCGCATCTGAGTATCGTTATATCTCCGTGCGGCGACAAAAACAGTAATTTGTGCTACTTTCGTTGATGACCATGTTTCCTACTGGTCTTGATACTAAGGACAAAGCAATGCGCAAGATGCGTCTATTTGAACGCCGGTTTGAGTGCCGGTTTGAGCACCTCATTAGCATTCATCGAGGTCAGACCCATAACATGGTAGGTCATCATTTACGTAGACAGCCGATCAGTCAAACTTCCGTCGTCGCTGCAGCATACATGACTTGCAACTCTGTCCAAAGGTCGAGAGGATGAAGACCTCCGGGTCGGCAAATATCGATATTCTTCGGCATTTTCCTGAATCGGTCCTCAAAAAGGCTAAATGCGCGGCAACGTCTTCATAATGTGGAGATATCATCGCCAAAGCGGGTAACTTCGACCTGCATATTGCGTAGGTCGGTGGAGCTCACGGGTAAGAGATGTCGAATACAGGCTGGCTCCGGCTTAGAACGCAGATCGTGACAACATAAGGAGATGAGATTCCTGTATGCGTACGAGGTGGAGATACGTGCGATGTGGTCTGCGATGTGGTATCTGCGAAAGCACATATGTAACAGCGTTCGATATCAGACAGCATGGAGGGTGCTTGAACCCACGGACGAGAAGCAGCAGCGGTCACCTGTTCGCGTAGCTACGCTGTATGAGCTGTCCCCCTATTCAACGGCACTCATGTCATGGATGGCCATTGCTCCCACGTGTCGTTCGTGGATCCTCCCGTCCATCTGACTCGTGACAGTGCGTAAGACGTGAGGGTTGAGACAAGAGTTGTGACTTTTGATGCATCATCCCAGGGAGAGGTGGTCGAGACAGGAAGATGCTTGCCAGCCGTCGAGACAGCATAAACACGGGACGACTGAGCCATGGTCAGAGGCCAAATTAGTAAACTTAGCATATTGGCGGAACGGATATAGGGTTTATTATGACGGCAACACGTTCATAAGTATACTGAGTACCTCAGCGCGGGCATAATTCCAGCACCCACTCAGACGTGAGGCAGGATGATCAGGACGCACGACTCTTGCCCCAACCGATTCCAACGGCAGAAAGGCGAGGCGAGGATACTTGGGAAAATCCAAAATCTGATGGCGCAATGATTGGCCGAAGCACGCGAGTCGGGGAGATGAAGGAGCGACGGAGGTTTGGCGAATGTTCACGTTCTGCAGGGCTAGGCTGAACTGGGGCTAGAGAATATCGCCCCCCAGTCTGAGCTTTGGCTCGAGAGGAATTCGAGTGGCTGGCAACGTCGTGGTACAGAACATCTCAGCGCTGCTGACGAGGGTAGAACAGCAGCAGATAGAAGGATGCAGTGCGAGGCCCGGGTGCTTGCCTGCAGGTGCAAGACACAGTGAGTGAGAGATAGAGGCCAAACGCTTCAGGGTTTCAAGCGTGCCTGGATCCTTGTGTGGCTCCGAGCGTCAGGCCCTCTTGTTACGATGGGTCCTCATTTTCCACAAACCTTCTAGAAGCGTAACTAGTCAGACTCAAGCGGGACGGGAGTTACGGGAGTCGCATCTGGCGTGTTCTCGACAGCGCTTCCATGTCGAACTGTGTGGTGCAAAGGAGGCCGAGGGGGGCGACACCAGGGCCTGCAGCGAGAGGCGGGAGAGGTGCAGCAAATAGCTGCTGTGCCCAGAGGCCAATTGCAAATCACGACTTACGGTGAGCGGAGGCGTTGCAGGCGCGGACGAACAGGCGGGAGGGGACGTGAAGATGGTCGCGCCTGCGTAGCATGGCCCATCAGTTGCAGTAGGCCATGGGCAGGGCTTCTTGCACGATAGCGGGCAGTCCAGAAGTCGCGAAGATCGCGAACCAGCAAAGGGGAATCGGCAAAAGGTGTTAGCGATGCTAGTCGTCGCAACATAGACAGGTCGGAGGGTTTGGTGGTAGGGTGGCCCGGGCCAGGCTAGCACTAGCAGCAGAGCTGGCGTTGCTTCCTTTCATGGCTGGCATGGCACGATTTGGGCAAGCGCCTCTCCTTTCGCGGCCTTCATCAAGCCTTCTTACTTGCCTCTCGTTCTTTGCTTCTCCCAAACGTCAATCGACGCTCTCGCCGGCATAACATCGATCCATTCGCTGCTGTGCAACTCGCGGCCCTTTTTCGCACCGCCTCTTGTTTCCTGCTGCGACACACAGTCGGCGAGCGAGCACGCAGAGTTCCTCCCCCCCCCCCCCAGCCGATCCACCCCCGAGCCGACCTTGCAGCAACCCTGAGACCTCGGAGCCAAGCGAGCCTCGTCGTCTTTCATACGCCAGCCATCCCTTCACTCTCGTCCTTCACCTCCATCCCTCCCGCACCCGACTACTGTACATTCACTCCTGCCATTGGGGGTAGTCTTTGTAATAACAGGTGAGCCTCTCCTCCCCAGGACCCCGTCGCGCCTGCCTCGCCTGCTCTGGGACCCAAGCGCCACCGTCGAGTGCAAGCATACGGCCGCATCGCTTCCAGTCGTCTCACCCACGGCTAAAGTCGCCAACCTTTTTGCACTCGCACGACCGCCGCCTGCCATTGAACTCCTATTGACACCGTCCTCCAGATTTCCGCATTGGCCGGCCTCGACGGAACATCACTACGTACCTTTACCCTAATAATCACCCCGGACACCGTTCCCTGCCGCCACTATGGGTTGCGGAATGAGCACAGAAGAGAAGGAGGGCAAGCAGAGGAACGAGGAAATTGAGAACCAGCTCAAGCGCGACAAGATGATGCAGCGCAACGAGATCAAGATGCTGCTCCTCGGTTAGTATCGCGACGCCCGTCACGTCAGCAGCCTCTAACAGCGCGCAGGAGCCGGTGAATCCGGAAAGTCGACCATTCTCAAGCAGATGAAGCTCATCCATGAGGGTGGATACTCGCGCGACGAGCGCGAGTCGTTCAAAGAGATCATCTTCAGCAACACGGTGCAGTCGATGCGCGTTATTCTTGAGGCCATGGAGTCGCTCGAGCTGCCACTCGACGACCAGCGCGCCGAGTACCACGTCCAGACCATCTTCATGCAGCCAGCACAGATCGAGGGTGACAGCCTGCCCCCGGAGGTTGGAAACGCCATCTCAGTCCTGTGGAAGGACGCTGGTGTGCAACAGTGCTTCCAGCGCTCGCGCGAGTACCAGCTTAACGACTCCGCTAAATAGTGAGCAATCCTCCTTGCCATGCGCGCGTAACACTACTAACAGCCATAGCTACTTCGACTCCATCGACCGCATCGCTGCGCCCGACTACATCCCCAACGACCAAGACGTGCTCCGATCGTGTGTCAAGACGACTGGTATCACCGAAACGACCTTCATCATTGGCGATCTCACCTACCGCATGTTCGATGTCGGTGGCCAGCGATCGGAACGTAAGAAGTGGATACACTGCTTCGAGAACGTTACCACCATTCTGTTCCTGGTCGCCATCTCCGAGTATGACCAGCTGCTATTCGAAGACGAAACCGTCAACCGTATGCAAGAAGCCCTCACATTGTTCGACTCCATCTGCAACTCGCGGTGGTTCGTCAAGACATCCATCATCTTGTTCCTCAACAAAATCGATCGCTTCAAGGAGAAGCTGCCTGTCAGCCCAATGAAGAACTACTTCCCCGACTACGAAGGCGGCCCAGACTACGCCGCCGCCTGCGATTACATCCTGAACCGATTCGTCTCGCTCAACCAACACGAGACTAAGCAAATTTACACTCATTTCACCTGCGCCACAGATACCATGCAAATCCGATTCGTCATGGCTGCAGTAAACGGTACGTCTCATCCGGTTATATGCATGAATCTTGCTGACATTCCATAGACATTATTATCCAAGAGAACCTTCGGTTGTGCGGTTTGATATAAGTGCGATGGCGGTGGGATAAACGAACATCTTCCAACTGATCTTGAATCATGGGTTGCATGCCTCATGTCCTACACAGGCGTTTGTGGACATTGCTTTGCATGCTTGCGCTTCTTTCGTCGAGAAATGGTTTCGCTCTAGGCCCGTGTCGCTCTCTCTTTGATACCCTGCGGGCGGGCTGAGGAGGCCATGGAACACTACCAGCGAAGCGACTTTTCATCCTCTTATTTCTTTAACGTTTTTCTTGGGCCCAAAGAGGGATTGGGTATTGAAACATGTCCCTTGCTACAAAGATACTTCCGACGGGCGAGCGAAGCGTATGTTTATGGCGGCTCCCAAAAGAAGTTTTTCTCCTAATACTATCTGTTCTTTCGAGTCTATCTATTACCTCTGCACACTTATTTTCTCATGGTGTGGCAGGATTGCCTTAGTATGTATACAGCATGTGTGAGATATGTAGTGAAATGATGAATTCCTTTTATAAACTTGATCGTTTGCATCTATGATTTGTGAACTTGACAGATTACCGGTTCTTGATTACGACAATGACAAGCCTATGCGAACGAATTGTCAGCGAATTGTCAGCACCGGTCCCAACTCAACCCAATCGTCAGTGCTCACACTTTACGATGGCATGATCGCCACAGTAGCGGGAGCAACCTTGTCTCCGGAAGAAACAAAGACACATCTCACGGAACAACTACGGACAAAGCAAGGGAGCCAACATCGTGCACACCCATACAAACATGAGCATCTTTTGCTAACCCGACACTTTGGTCTACTGTGTCTGTTCCAGCCCAAACTGTGGGGAAGTCAAACACTTTGGTATCCCTTCTCCATACTATTCGGACCGCCTCGGCTGCTATTGCCTTGCATTGCGGCACAGATCGTTCCCCGCTGCGACGCGATATGCTCATTACGGCTATTATCACGATAGGAGGCTGCGGTGCGACCTGTCGGTCGGTCTTACTCATGTCACGGACCTTTGCAGTACGTGGTTGATCAGTGGGCATGACGTACGACACCCAACTGACTTTTGGGTTGAGGAAGTACGTGTCTTAGTTCATATAACCAATCTTGCGGCAGGACCATGTACGAGGCGAAGATCGTCGTCTTTGCGCGTGTTGATTATCAAGGTGAAAATGATTGAGTTGATGCGGTTAGCGCGATGCAAGGTCGGATGCCGAACATCTGAACGACGCATGTACGCAGGTGCCGTTGTCCTTTCTTTCTCTTCCAAAATCACGATGTGTAAATACCGGCGGTGCGCGTTTGCGTCTACTCTGGCTTGAGCTCTACTTGCTAGGTTTTACTTTGCTTCTTCCTTGTCTCGTCCACGGAGGCGTTGGAGTGTCTTTCAGCTTCAATCAGGGAATCACAGACCTGTTGCTACTTACCCTAAGCCTATCGGTACGGTGCTGGAAGATGGAAGGCTGCATTTAGAGTGATGGCTAGAAAACAGCTGGGTCCTTCCGTGGCATATATCCTAACATGCTGTTGCCCATGGGTACTGGCGCAGAGCGGTGAGTAAGTATGGTCACGATCGTCGAGATACCTACCCTGGTCAAGACAGGCGCGCATGCATCCATAGTGTTTGTCACAGCACCCGGCCTCCGTTGTACCGAGGAAGCGCATCTGAGCTGACATTCTATATGTTCTTTTGATTCAAAGTCTGACGTCTTCGCATACCCGTGACAATTGGGGTTCCGTCGGATGGTCACTCTTTGGATCTTTACGCTGAGGCCGAGATGACGAGTATATATGAGTTCTATGTGTATCACACGTCCTTCTTTCCACTTCATTCGTCTTATCCTTTCCCCATGCCGTCTTTCACTTTAGCTTGTTGTATGTAGAGCTTTCTCCTACTACATCATGCTCATGTCTGGTAATGATAAATATGGCTAATGCAGGCATACGCCATTCCCTTTTCCACCCCGCTTTTCTGCCATTGTCCAGCTCTCTCTCCCTTCATGTGCTGAGCATGGAGCTCATATACCTTCTTAATACTCCACGTTTACTAGCTCACTTCGTCCCTCCATGTAACCCTGGCGTTCAGATATGGAGGTGATCGCCTGCATCATCGTTTTCCCTATTCCGCTCTTACATAGTCCGTTTAACCAATTATTCATGGCATATCATGCCTCGACCGAAGGTCCATCGTAACGCAGTCTGGAACTGCTTGGAAGACGATTGAGGGCCTCCAAAAGCAACAGGATCCATCATCAAAATTCCAGCCGACCTCTTCCGTCACTTGGAATCTTGGTGCGCTCGCGCGGCAACTCAATATCTTCATATTCCCCAACCCCACACAACTATCAGCCATGCCTATAGACAGTACCCACCATGTAGCCACTCAACTCTGGACGATAAGCGAAAGCCATCACGTACCCAACTCGAGGAGCACAGTACCGAAATTCTTCGACCCAATGATTCCACGCGGAATTCGCTGACTTGGACATATCGTGGCCCACAGACGGTTGCGCTTTTGGATCCGTCTCCTTTTGCATTCCAAAGTTTTCTCTCACCTACGAGTGTCTAAATTGCGGTACTGTAGCAATAAAAGCTTACTCTGTTAGTGCGGTAGCAAAACCCCAGTCTCACATCACGCCTCTGTAGTGTGGAAGAGTATTTGTTGGTCTTTCCAGTTTCTTAGAGAGCTCGACGAAAATCCTCGAATATATGTCTCCTCGCCGCTGTGTGATCCAGGCTCAAGGGCCGGCAGCGACCAAGGTGGTGACAAAGGTGATGGGTCTCGTATCAGCGTACTCTTTATTACCCGTCTCCTCGATGAGGGGAACTCTGACCAAGTGTTGACGGTACCTAGTGGTCACGACCGTTGCGACAATAACCATGACAACAACAAAATGGCATCTACATCCATTTAGGCAGACGTGCAATCACAAGCGTCTGTTGTATCATACGAGCGTTTCGTACGTCACACAGGGATACCAGATCGTTTTATGAATATGTACAGCATCTTCTTTGCACATATATACATCAGGATCTGATTTCACCAATGAAAGTGAGTCACTTAGTTGTTGCAGAGGTATTGATCATGGACTTTGTGAATGATTCTGAGTTCACTCCTGCAGTATTACTCGAGCTTTTTGTTACCTGACTCGGGCATATGGACCAGCCCAAAGCTCGATATTTGCGTATGTGAAACTTTCCTTGTTCCCCATACTCTCGCATGTTACTGATATTATCAGAACCATAGTTTTCGGAGCTGGTAGTGTCCCTTATGTTTAGCTTCTGTGATTCGAACCGCAAGAATGGCCTTGAGTGACGAAGTTCAACATTGCGACCGTGATAATGGTTTATTTGGCAATTTCCAAAGTTTTTGTTATTGTCACCCAAGGAAAAGAACTCCAGCAAGGATAACAGCGTCTCCGAATCATGCTTTACAGGAAGACAGGTTATGCTCTCATTCGGATGGAGCGTAGCTCGTCTATCTATGGTTTTGTTGGCGATATTCAGAGCCAGATCATCGTTCTCCCTGCCGACGACAATGTGTTGGATGATAGCATCGAGGTCTTCGTCCAGCAGCTGGCCAATATTGCTCTCATCTACCTAGGCCTGAAACTGAATACGGACTCGAATGTGGATCATCCTAAGTGTGTCTCCAGTAACTTTTTTTAAGCTACCACCCAGCGACAGGCATCATAATAGAGCTTTGGCTAATGTGAGCTATCCAAAGAGCCCATGTTTCAAGGTAAGAGCTCTCTTCTTGACATATAGGCACCCAACAATGCTGGGCCGTCCAACCGTTATCGAGGTCAAAACGTCCTTCTGGCAAACCACCCAACTACGATTAATCTACTGACTGAGTCGCTGACCAACAGTCGCAATGAGAAGTATGTTGATGATGGAGTTGGAGACGAAACAAGATATCGTAATTTGGAAACGATGCGCGGAATCAGGGCCTGGCACTCAGATAGTATCCGCCTCTGTCCAATCTTCCGTCAGCACGACTGGAGAGTTAAACAAGGTTACTATACACATACTTGGGAGAGAGACGTACATGTCTGACAGAAAGATATACGCAAGACAGACTGATATTCAAGAACTCTCTGTTGACTTGGGCCGCTTGCCGTGAAGTACCTGCAAGATAGAATAATAGAAATAAGAATAGGCGAGGAAGACTGTGTGTGTAGGCAGTCAACAGGCTTTGGTGATAAGTATACTTTACAGTATCTGAACATATTGAATGGAAGATGGCATGGTGTTTGCATACAATCGCTGTTCGACTAACAAGTTACGAGTCGAATCGATTATTGTTCATCACTTCGTGTCTGCAACCCCACATAAACAGGTCGAGTTATAATCACGAGGAAGCTCGCAATACTTTCTGCGCTTCCACTTGGCTATTTGCAGCAGTGTGTCTGATCTTCGGCAACGCATTCTAGTTCAGTCTCAGTACGTCAGCCACAACATCAGCCACGTCATCAGCCACGGCTAACGGAACGGATGGGCGGACGAGCCATGTGGAGTAAGTGAGGTATGACGTCGCTGGCATCGGCGTTGGCGGATCGCGACTGCCGGTGTTGTACCTAGAAAAAGCCCCACCAACGTTGGTTTGGCGCCAGTTGTTGTGTGCCGCAGTTTGGTACAGCGTATCTGACGGCATGCAAAGCCCTCAAGGCCCGCGGTCGCAGTGACAGCAGCCAGGAACTTGGCGAATCGGAGACTGCGATTTGTATCGCACAAGTTACAGGTTTGGAGCACGAGCTCCCGCCTGACAAAATAGCCAGGACATTTTGTGGTACGCGGTGGTACCTGGAAGATGAAGTGCTCAGTTCTTCCGAAAGAGGCGGAAGAAACGATGAGAGGGCTGTGCAAGATACCCCTCGTTCGCATGTACCCCGCTAAAGGTGGAAGGTGGCCTTTGGAGTACAGTAGGGTAGTGTTGATGCGGTTAGAGGTTCCTGTAACAAGACGGGTCGCGTAGAAGTGCAGGCTACCAATAGTAGGTCCAGTATAGTGGCCCAGTGTAGTGGCCCAGTATAGTTCCGGAGCATCTTAATCGAGACAGGTATCCGCGATACGTGCGCGGTGTTGTTGGCTCGGAACCTGTCAGCGCGAGGCGTTAGTGAGACAGACAGGACGGGATAGCATTTGCGGGATATATACTGCGGCCGGTTGCTCGGATGGCTAGCAGGGCAGGATTGAGGGGTCGATATGGAGGCGATGGACGCAGGGCTGATTAGGGCTGCTTGTTGTTGATTCTGTTGGGTTGCGGCTGCCTTGATGGCTTCGAGTGGGTTCCGAGTGGGGTCTGGATACGGTCGCCGCAGTTCTCGGCTTTGATGGTAGGCGCCTGAGTCGCGAAAAGATGCAGCAACTGGCAGCGGGCGGTATTTGCTTATTGCACATGTCTTGGAGCTTTGCATAGAGGTCAGACATAGCCGTCGATCAGGCATGGTAGAAGCCATGCACAGGGCCCAGCCGCGTTCCCGGCAAGCGCTGCTCCTATCGACGCCGCAAGAGACAGATTGCGGGCCTGCCCTCCTTCAGCTGTCTGCGCGTGCCCAAGTACCGGGGCCAAGGTGCTATGCGGCGGCCCCCAAGCTTGATTCACTCTTCTTCTGGCCGCCATCAGCATTCGCGTCGCATTGCACATCTGCCTCTCCTGAGGCCTCTTGCCGTGAATTCCTGAATGTATTGACCCACGTTGTGCCAACCGACGGCGCGACGTCAAGCAATCCCTAGGCACTTGGCTACCGCGGTCCGGCCAGCAGGTTCCGATTGAACGCGCAGCCTGCCACCATGCCGCGACCTACATTTACCAGCAAGCTCTCGCTTCCGCACCGCCTCAAGCACCAGACCAGCTACACCAGCAACCCCAATTCCACCCCAACCTCTGTCCCCGCCAGCCGTACGGGGAGCCCCAAACTACGCGCCATGCCCGAGCAGCCAGTACCCGGCCTGGTCTTGAGGGCGAACGTCATCAAGGTGCGCCCGTCCATGTCTCCCCGGTGGAGCAGCCACAAGCTGACATGAATGCAGGGCAGAGACCTCGCTGCAAAGGACCGGAGCGGCACTTCTGATCCCGTGAGTCCCTTCACAGGCATGCCACTGCCGCGAATGCCCCTCTAACCACCATGTCCACAGTACCTTGTCCTCTCTCTCGGTGACGAGAAATTCACAACTCCTACCATAAACAAACAGCTGAACCCGGAATGGAACGAGACGCTCGAACTCCCCATCCTCGGCGAGCAGAGCCTCCTGCTCGAGGTCGTCTGCTGGGACAAAGACCGCTTTGGCAAGGATTACATGGGCGAATTTGACGTCATACTCGAGGAGCAATTCCAGAACGGACTCACGCAGCAGGAGCCACAATGGTTTCCCCTCAAGTCGCGGCGATCCGGCAAGAAGAAGTCTGTCGTCTCCGGCGAGATCCAGATCCAATTCTCCCTCATCGACCCGGTCAACCTCGCCGCCACACCCGAGCAGATCCTACAGAAGTTCTTCGCCATCGCAGGGCAAACACCAAGCCCAGACGAAGACGAGGGGGAGCTCCTCATGCGCGGCGACAGCAACCTTACCGACGCCGAAGAGGATGAGTCGAGCTCGGACGAGGCACAGGACGAATCAAAGAAGGCCGAGAAGCGCGAGAAGCGGAGGAAGAAGCTCAAGTTAGCCAGACTGAGGAGAAAGGTCAAATCCAAGACCGGCTACGAATACTCTAGCAATGGCGATATAGCTGGTGTTCTCTTCCTCGAGATTCAGAAATGTACCGACCTGCCACCAGAACGTAACGGTAAGTCTCCTGACCGCGTCCTCATACACAAGCTAATGCATCCCTAGTGACGAGGACTACCTTTGACATGGATCCATTCGTCGTAACCTCACTCGGAAAGAAGACGTATCGTACCAAAACCATTAGTCATAACCTAAATCCCGTCTTTGACGAGAAACTTGTCTTCCAAGTTCTACGGCACGAAACCAATTACTCCGTCAATTTTACCATCATCGACAAGGACAAGTTCTCAGGCAATGACTACGTTGGCACCGTCAACTTTCCCCTTGAAAAAGCTGTTTCTACAGCCCCACAGGAGGACCCAGAGACGGGGTTATATAGATTGCCTGAGCCATCAGACTCTCCTGGTCTCTCTCCTTCTGAATCCGGCAGTTCAAAGAAGTCCCGTTTCCGCCTCCCCATGTCTCGCTCTGCTTCAACTCACAGTCTATCTCGTCTGGGTCGGCCGTCTTTGAAGAAGGAAAGCTCGACAGGTTCACTCTCTGTACAAGAGCCTAACAATTCCCTGACTACCAGCAATGCTGCAGCCGATTCCAACGGTAATCTTGCTGTAGCCGGCGACGTCAACATAAACCCATCCGCCGCAGATGACGAGGATTTGAAGATGTACACACTACCATTGGAGTTAAAAGACAAAGAGCGCTGGGGCAACAAACACAACCCAACCCTCTACATTCGCGCAAAATACCTCCCGTACAAGGCTCTTCGACAACAGTTCTGGAGAGCTATGCTCAAACAGTACGACGCCGATGAGAGTGGCCTTCTCGATAAAGTAGAACTGACTACCATGCTCGATACCCTTGGTTCCACCCTGCACGAATCGACTATTGACAGCTTCTTCGATCGTTTCGCGGAGGCACATAATGGAGACCTTCTCCTCACATTCGACGAAGCCGTCATCTGTCTTGAAGATCAGCTGCAGGCCACAGAGGCAAGAGACGCCCAGAGGTCTGGGTTTGCATCAGGCACACAGACTCCTTCGCTGGCATCTGGAATGCTCACGCCCATCAATCAGAACAGCTCGACAACCTCCATTCCAGTGCTTGAAACAAACACCTTGGGTAGGGAAGGCGAAGAAGGCGACAACCTGCAGATCGACGATCTTGCCGACGAGAAGGGAGAAGAACATGTCATCGAGATCCGTGAATGTCCCATCTGCCACCAGCCGAAGTTGAATAAGAGGTCCGATGCTAACATCATTACACACATTGCTACCTGCGCCAGTCAAGATTGGAGACAAGTGAACAACATTGTCATGGCTGGCTTCGTCACCTCAAGCCAAGCACAGCGAAAATGGTATTCCAAGGTCATCACTAAGATCTCGTACGGTGGCTACAAACTAGGCGCAAACTCGGCAAACATCCTTGTTCAAGACCGTCTTACAGGTCAGATCAACGAAGAGCGCATGAGCGTTTACGTACGTTTGGGTATTCGATTGCTCTACAAGGGCCTCAAATCAAACAACATGGAGAAGAAGCGAAGTAAGTGGCCAAGTGCTGTTATTGTGAATGCATCATACTAATTTGTCGCAGTCCGCAAGTTGCTCAAGTCACTCAGTTTCAAACAGGGAAGGAAATACGATGACCCTGCATCAGCATCTGAGATACTGCCTTTTATCAACTTCCATCAACTTGACATGTCTGAGGTATTGTTGCCGACAGACCAGTTCAAGAACTTCAACGAGTTCTTCTACCGAGCACTCAAGCCGGGTGCACGTCCGTGCTCCGCACCTGATGATCCCAGAGTCATCGTCTCGCCGTCTGACTGCCGAACCGTAGTCTTCAACACGATCGACTCGGCACAAGCCATCTGGGTCAAGGGTCGTGACTTTACCGTTGAGCGTTTGCTTGGTGATGCGTACCCTGAAGACGCTAAACGCTATCATGGAGGCTCTCTTGGTATCTTCCGACTCGCGCCACAAGACTACCACCGGTTCCACATACCTGTCGATGGTGTCATGGATGAACCAAAAACAATCGAGGGAGAATACTACACTGTCAACCCAATGGCTATCCGCTCAGCTCTGGACGTATATGGCGAGAATGTGCGCGTCGTAGTGCCCATCGACTCCGTTGCACACGGCCGTGTTATGGTCATTTGCATTGGTGCCATGATGGTTGGCAGCACTGTCATCACGCGTAAGAAGGGCGACCATGTCAAGCGTGCCGAGGAGCTGGGCTACTTCAAGTTTGGCGGAAGCACATTGCTCCTTCTCTTCGAGCCCGGTCAGATGAGATACGACGAGGATCTTGTAGACAACTCGAACTCTGCCTTGGAGACTCTTGTAAGTGCAGTCATGCTTATAGTCAATCTGTGTTACTAATCTTGATAGGTCCGTGTCGGCATGTCTATCGGTCACAGCCCCAACAGGGCAGCCCATGTCCCCGACATGCGCAAAACCAACCCTACCAATGAAGAGAAGCAGGACGCGAAACGCCGCATCGAGGGTAGCATGGCACCTTCAGGCGTGAAAGGACCCATGCCTGGAGCTGGGATGTAGAATAGACGCCATTGCGGTGCATAGGAAAAGGAATACATAAAAGGACATGGGCAGGCTTGGATATTCAACATTGTTCTGGCGTGTGTCTAAGTGGAGTAACGAGATCATGATGGTATGGGAGCATACGGATCAGCGACACGGGTAGTCGCTTGTTCTCTGGCGTTTTTTGAGCGGCTTTGCTTTGACTGTCTACAAAGATGTGTCGTTTACATACATACAGAGCAGTTGGCCCGCATCCTACAACATCGTCTTCATCCCCTGAAAGATTTGGATCGTTGGGCTCAAGTAGTGGACACTCATCCATGTGGGGTGCACTAGTGCTTCACGTGAACACGCTAGTCCCAAAACCATTGTTTTGATGATGCTGGCGGCAGGTGCACACACCAACTTCCTTGCTCCCGTGTGATAACCGTTCCCCTCCACGCCCGTCGCCTAAGAATATTCGCATTACCGCCAAATCATTACGAGCCTGCGTACGGATACCGCAAGCATATACCTAATCGCACGCCAACCACCATCGTATATCCTGCGTAGCTCGCCCTGTCTGCGCTCGCCCGTTTGTCGCGCCAATGCACGCGCTTTGACCGAACTTCAACTCCCCGAAACTCCCGTGACGCAGCAACTGGACTCATGACTACTATCTTCGCGCGCCCACCGCTCCAATCGCTTCCTATGGCCACAAACCGACCGACGACGCGACGAAGGAGCGCAAAACAAGCCTTTGATGACGACGATGCGCCGGCGCCAAAAAGAGCAAAGGCCGAGGTGAATGGGTCGAGCAAAAAGGCGACTGCTGCGCCAAAGAAGACAGCAAAGGCAGCTGCATACGACGAGGACGACGATGGCTTCCAATTCTCGCGTCGCACGTCGTCGCGGAGGACTACAAAGGCACAGGCTGCGCCAGCACCAGAACCAATACCCGAGGAAAGACCAACGAAGCCTGCGCAAGCTGTCGAAGCGCAACCCGTCAAATCAGCTGCGCGGAAGAAGAAACAATCAACCGCAGCAGCCGATCCAGAATCTTCAGACTCGGGAAAGCGACGGCGATCAGCGCGCATATCTGCCGACAGTAGACAGCTAGAGGTACGACCGAAGTCCACAGAGCCTCTTCCAACGAAAACTCGCACGAAGAAAGCCGCACCGGCAGAGAAAGAGAGGAAGAAGCAGGTCACACCCCCACCTGAAGTACAAACGGAGCCGAAGAGCACATATGGAGGTGTACAAACACCAAGACACAATGAGATACAGGTCGCGAAGAAGCGCGATCCCAACGCTCAAAAGATCATGCTGCCTTTTGCCGACACACCAGTTATAACGAGAAACAAAGAGATGCGGAAAGGCGGCAACAAGGACGGGTCAAGAAGGAGTAGCACAGGCTTGCGAGGGAGGAGAGCAAGTTCGCTGATAGATAGCGGACAATCCAATGGTGAGTCTGAACACGATGCACAGACAAAACCCCCTAAGGGCATGGAAAAGCGCTTCCAATAGGTAGTAAGTACTGACAAATTCGCAGCGCTACCCCATTCCGAAGTCGAAGTACGAGATTTCTACAAGTACATCGAGCAAAGTCTGCCCGAACCACGGCGGATGAAGCAGCTTCTAACATGGTGTGGATCGCGAGCACTACCAGCGAAGCCATCGGGCGACGTCAAGAACGCGAACGCGATCATGGCTGCGCGAGCCATTCAACAAGAGCTTATAGACGACTTTGCAAGCAAACCTGAGCTTTCGGACTGGTTCAGCAGGGTACGTGGATGGGTCTCAGTATATTGAATTCGGGCTGATTGTTGTACAGGAAGAAACAGCGCCACCACCTGTGGTGAAGAAGCCGAATCCCCAGAATGAGATGAACAAAGCCAAATTGGAGGAATTGGAAGACGAAGTCAAGCGGTATGTCTTGAAGTCCACTCATTACACGAACGCACCAGACTGACAGCGGAGTAGTCTCGAAGATGAGAAAGCCGCATGGGAAGCCATTGCATCAGCGTCGAAAGCTAGCCTCCCTCCGCCTGCACCTTCGATACCCACTGCGGCACCCACACTATCGGATATTGATACATCCCTCCTCGATCCCGAGCAAGCCGCCATAATTTCCTCCCTCCAACTATCACAACCACAGACCTCACCACAACCGCCGTCATCAGCATTCACATTCACATCGCCTACGGCACTACAATCACATCTCACATCACTCGCCAACTCACTAGAACCGCACATCGACCTCTTCGCAGATGGTGTTCATAAGATCGAGCAGTATCGCGCTACAGCAGAAAAAGTAGCGGATTGTGTGCTAGGGACAGCGGCAAAGAGGCTAGAGGAGCGAGATCGGGAGGCAAAGGAAAGAGTCGGAACAGAGGGAGTTGGTGTAGGTGACATACTGAGAGGCCTTGCAGGTGTACTCAGGGAGCAATAGATATGCAAGCGTTTATTGCAATCAAATACAAGAGTTACCGGCAGGAACGGATAAGGACTGGTATCCAGACAGACAATCATCTTATGAGAATGATCTATATGGCTCTTTCTTCGGCCTTTTCGCCTTGTCCCGGAGACATACTTCGCAGGCATTTTCGTATGGTGTTCAGTGTGTGCCGGAATGGATCGGGAGAAAACGATATACCCTTCTGTTTTTTTGAGGTTTCATGTAAATATTATTCGAGCAAGAATAACATCACACTATCTTGCTGCGCTGCTGAAGAGTCATGCACTTCAAGCAGAGTGCCAGAAATGTCATCGCGATTGCATGTGATCGCTAAAGTAAGCCGAGAAACCTTGAAGCTACGGTTCCTGCTTGACAGATGATGATCATCCGTCAGTTCTTGCCTTGACACAATCCTTCGTCGACATTCCTATACTCAGCTCACTCCCACTTCATGTATATCTCTTTGCTGCCTCTCTTAGCTTCTAATGCACCATATAGCCAGTCTTCCAATTTCGTCTTCCAGATTCAACGCAAATCCCATTGTGATGCGGAGGAAAAGTACGCGCTCTTCTAGGTAACGGAGAACGTCGATAGGAGTGTGCAAGAGTTGCTCCGACGTGCGGCCGAGGAGTTGAGACCATGCAGCGTCCGAGAGGATGAGTTTTCCAGAGCTAATCTGGCCGGTTTCGTCGAGGAGAGCACCGAGCTGGAAAGCATCAGGGATAGAACGAGATGATTTTCGAGAGGAACGAAACCCACTTACTATTCTTGGATTGATCCTCAGTTTTACCACCCTACCACACTGCTTGCACTTAATCTCTATGTTGTTGGCGAAAATAGGGATTCCGCAGCATTCATTGCTCATGAGCATATTTCGCCTAAACGTCGTGACAATGTTAAGCTCTGTGACAATAACGCTAAGATAGCCAGCAATAGTCTCCTTGGATCTTCTGTTCGAGAGCGAGCGAGCGACGTCATCCACATCCGCAAGTGTGTACAGTGCTCTTATGGCTGCAGTCTTGAAGTCATCAACCAAAGTATCAGCGATAAGAAATGGCGGATTGACATGTTCTTTCTTCGTCAGTTTTTGTGCTAGTGCTCTCAATCTCCGTGCATCACCCATGTCTGGGTCGATATCGATGCGTGAATTACCGCTCAGCGTGAGCTTGGCCATTTTCTCTATTCGCCATCCGGGGTTTGAGATCAGCAAAACTGTTTTCGAGGCAATTAAGAGAGGTGCAGAGTCGCACATGGAAGAATACAAAGTAAGTTGACCGTCGGCTGTGTCGTCAAAGATGCCGATGGAGATAAGTTCGGAGGTTGTGCCGTTGCGGTTGATGTCTGGTTGTTGAGTAAGCCACTGATAAAAACGTGATTAGGTAGTATGGGGGATAGAAATCACTCACACTTTTTCCGCGCTCCGATACTCTTGACACATACCAGCAACTTCGGCTCTTCGACATCGTACCCACCATCCGTGAAGCTCTTCAGCGTCATCAGTCCGGTCAACACCTTACTCTCCCGTATACCATACGGTCTCCTGTACCTCCTTCCATCATCACTATTCTCGTGCACCATAACATGACAGTTCCTATCGCCCTCGGGAAAGATGGTAGTAAACATTGGAGCAGTATTCTGAGCCAAGGAATTAAACTCGGACGAATTCGAAATATGTACCGTCCACACACTGAGAAGCTGGCCTAGCTTGAGTCTATACTGCGTGGTGTTATACCAAATGCGCACAGTAAGAACACCAGTATCGTCTGCAAGAAGGACCTTGATGCATCCTTGAGCTGCTTTGTGTGATTTGCTTGGTCTAGCTTGGTCAATGAAGTAAACGACGCGGCCCATGAGAACGAGTTTGCAGGGACCAGGCTCGAGTGTGCCTAGATCTGCTTCTTCGTAGTCAAAAGCGGGCTTTCTGTTGTATTAGCGGTGAGAAAACACGACTGTATAAGGTGCATACAGCCCATGCACTTGTAGCAGTCGCTTCCGATGAGGCAAGAGCGGCATGAGCCTCTTTTGTGGCGAAGCCATCGTCATTCTTTGTCGTCGACGATGAAAAGTAAGACTGAATTGAGGGTGAGGCAGGCATTTTCTACCATGCAGGTCGGTGTTGAAGAGGTAAAGGCATTTGCAGTATTGGGGCTGATGTTGAGGTGAGATTTGAGACAGGAGCGTTCCCGCCGCTTGCGTGAAATGCAATATTCGCCTGAACCTCGATGAGGAAGTCGCACGGCCCTGGAAGCCAAACTATTATATATGTGCACATTTGAAATATCTGTACGCTTTGTTATAGTGTTACTAAGTCGAATTGTGGCGCCAGAATGCAAGCACCATTTGACACGATCTGGTATTACTATCAGGTCACAGAAGATCAGGTAGAATTATAGTAAAACAGAATTTCTATTGCTTCAAAGAGAGTAATGAGTTGGTCGAGTCATGTTGTGAGCCACATGTGCCTCTAGAGCATCATGCGATATGTGCCGCCGTCCAGTTCCAATCGATATATCGGAGGCTCGCCACCGTCCATCGATCTAGAAGAGCTTATGCTCCAGGGTCATGTCGTTCTCCGGTTCAAGACCGACGCAGGCACGGAAGATATTAGTGAGAGCTGCGCGCTGCTTCGCAAGAGCATTGACAACAGGTGTGCCAGGAGGGGTGAGTGGAGCCTTGAGCATGTAGCTGAGGACACTGAGAACGCTGTGAAAGTTGTTGAACTTTGCATCACTAGTCTCGGCGCTGTGGGACTTCCACTGCACACGAGTCATCATCTCGGCGACGAGAACCAGATCGATGATCAATGGCGAGGCTAGGAGAGAGTCCTCGCAGACATTGAACAAGCTGATGGTCTGGTGGCCGTCAAGGAAGATCTCGGCGTAGTACTCGTCCAGGGCACGCTTGTCGTCCCCAACAGCGGGCATGTACTTGATGACCACACAATGGTCAGGGTGCTCACCGTCCTTATACAAGACGTTGTTCGCAGCGACCATGTCGTCGACGACGTTGGACTTGGAAATCTCCTTGGAGCGGAACTGCTTCTGGGAGCTAAGATTCATGCCGTCATTGTTGCCCAGGTGATTGTACGAGGCAATGGAGGTGAGCTTGATACCAGCGCTGATCATGAAGTCAACCAGAGCAGACTTCATCTTGGTTTGGCCAGACTTGAAATCGTCGCCCCCAATGAAGGCATTGTGCTGCTCAGCGAGCTGAATAGCACCAGGCACGAACGTGTTCTGAGGGGAGCCGTTGATGAATGGAGCGCCCTCAAGAATCGAGGCAACGGCAAAGACAGTGGAAGGAGAGACCTCTTCGTGACCAGACTCAATGGCCTTCATCAGGTTGTCCGCCGTGTCGTTAACGCCCTCAATGATGTCGGCGTAGCGCTCAGTGTTAGCAGTCCATTGCACAATAACCTTGTCGAGATTGTTGGCAGCCTTGAAGTCACTTGATCATTGTTAGCGAGGACAAGAATGCAGTGTGGAAGCTTTCGACTTACCGGATATCCTTGCGGATCTGGTCAACATGGGCCATGGAGGCCTTGGTACCCTCAAGGACATTGTCGGCACGCTCTTCTTGGTTGGCAGCAATGAAGTCCGGGTAGTAGATGCTAGGAAGGGGCTTCATAGCGCCCATCTCCTTACGCACAAGGGACTTCAGAGACGGCGATAGAACCTTGGCGCGGTCCATCGCTTCAGCAAGGTTCATCCCGCTAATGTCCCACCCACCAACGACAAGGTCGTTGGGGTGGACCATAGGCAGGAGGTCATGAAATGGAATGTGGATCTCCTGACCAGTCTTGCTATCGACGCCGAGCTTAGTGGTAGATCCCATGATGACCGAGCCATAGTAGTTAGCGCCGCGCTTGCCCTCCTTGGTCTCCCAAACGAGGTTTCGCTTGTTCGCGATGATACCAGCGGTGACCGTAGTGCCATTGTTGCCGCCCCAGCCAACCAGCATAACGCCGGTCTTGGGGATCTTGCGGTCGACCTTGAAGTCGTAGAGCGTCTCCTTGGGAATAGCCACATACTTGCCGTCGGCGTTCTTGGTAACGTCGGTGGTACGGTAAGTGTACTTTGACCTGATGGTTTCCTCGGTATACTCTACATTAGGAGAGCTGACAACAAAGAGGTCCTTGGGAGCCGTTTTCACATCGAACCCATTCGCGTGACCGACGCCGTCTTCTGCGTGTGGTGCCATATTTACAATTGAAGTTCTTTCTGACTTGGTGAACTTAGTTGCGGAAGTCTAAATCCGACGCTGCCCCAGAGGGAGAAGTGCGTCGGCCGGCGAATGGGTTGTGGATCCTGCCAAATATCAGTATAAAGCGTCCCCATGGGGTTATAGCGGGGCACATACGAGCTGAGGAGATTGGAAAACGTCTTGACAGCTGGGCAATGGCCCGGGGAAATCTGGGTGTGGTTGATAGAAGGGAGAGAGATTGCAAGCTTGACAGTCGGCTGTTATCTACAATCGGTGGTGTGTTGTGGTGGGTGAGGAGACATGGAGAGAAGTTGCGATATAAATGCCTCCCGTGTCCCGGCTGACTTAGCAATAATCGTACGCGATCGTTCCCGCCTGCTGCCGGACAGCGTGTTCACCCACCGCTTCTTTGCCTTTGCCTTCCATACCCCCCACTTTTTGTACTAATGTACATCGCCGTAACCTTGTTCGGTATGTCCAACACCAATGGGCACGCAGCAGCAGTGTTCGCGATGCTCGCCATGCCCCACTATTTCTTCCACCATCCCAACATGCAGCAGCAACAACCGCAGTAGGTATGGTGACTGTGTAAGCAATCCGGACGAGAACGCTCTGCGAATCTCAAGCGAAGGCACATTGCATGGACAGCTGTCATCGCATCCTCGAGTGTACCGCTGTGGGATTTTATTATTTCTTCCTATGAGGTGCTTGTATAGGCAGGTACTACGTAGGTATCCAACAGATACGTACCCCGCCATCACGTGCTCCGTACTCCCGTAGAGGGGACCTCG